TAATAAAAATAGAGGCTAGGGGCTAAATACGCCCCTCTATAAGCCTAGTAAAAATACCTATCCTCTTTATACTTAAAAAAAGAGGAGAGTTATAACTTTATATTAATTATAAAGTAATTAATAAAATTATATAGAAAAATAGAACGCTGCTACTACTAATTAAAAAAATACTAAATAAACTATTTAATACCTCTATTTTTATAAAACTAAACCTTAAAAACGCGTATTACTATATATATATAACTAAAAGTAATAAATAAAAAACGGCTTTTTGTACTAAATATAAGTAATTTAAGTACTTAATTATACCTTTTAAGCTAACTAACGTACCCGTAACTTTCTAGGTATATATTAATAACGTTCTAAGTAGCCTAGTTAATACCGTCTATATTATATACCTAAATAATATCCTAATATATAATAACGACTACGTAGTATATAAAAAGCACGTATATAGCGTACTATAAAAATTATAGTAATAGAACTTATATCTAAATAGTAATAAATATAAGTTCTATATATCGTATATAGGATTCCTAAAGTATATTATATTTAATAAAAATATAAAAATAAAACCCGCACGTACTAAAGCTATAATAAATTAGTTACTTTTAAAAAGTATTAAAAATATATAAACGTTCCTTAAATTTACGGGGTTTTATTATAAATTTATTAATACCTATACTAAAATAATAGTACCTCTAATAAACTTATTAAAAAAAGTAAAACTAAGATAATTAGAGCTATAAATACTAGTTATAAAGTTATTTAAAAAGCTATTAATAGTATTTATTAACGCGCTAATACTATAATATTTCGACCTTACCCTACTTATATAGTTATAAATAAACGCTTCGGCTCGAGCTATTAGCTTAGTAATTACGTAATTATTTAAGGGTAATTAATACTTAATTACTTATAAGTTAAGGAAATTAATAAATATAGAGAGCTATTACGGTATAAAAAACGCGGAGCTACTAACTATTATAAATATACTAAAGAACTAGTAATACTACTTTACTTATAACTAAAATTAAGTTATAGTATTTATAAATTATTTTAATTTATAGTTCTTAAATATAAAAAAAAAAATTAAATAAAAAATAGCTATGCTAGCTAAATAAACTCGTAGCGTTTAATATCGAGATTAAGTTTAAGTTAAGTATAAAAAACTTAGTAAATAAACTATTATAAAAACCTAATTATAGTAAAAATAGTAATAATAATAAAATAAAAGAGCTATTATTAAAAATAAAAAAAGACTTTTATAATACTAAAAATATATAAGAGCCCCTTAGAGTTATAATAATAAAATATACGAGGACGAGCTATAAGAGCGGTTTTTAAATAGAAAGGATAATAAGTATTTTAGAAATAAAACTAATAATAATATAAAAAAATAAGTAAAAGAGGTTAGGAGCTCTAGTTTAAAAAAACTCTAAGGAGTATTTTAAGAAGTATAACGGGGCTATAAGCTTAGAGTATTAAAATTATAGTACAGTACTTAAAAAGCTATTTAAGCTTATTATTAAAATTATAAATTATAAATTACTCGTTTTATAAAACTTTAATATAATAAAAATACTTAAAATAGTATTTAGTAAAGAGGGGTTATTAATAATAAGTTAATTACGGGCTGTTTAATAAAAAAACGCTTTTATAAAAAATAGGTAATAAACTAAAAAGAATTAATAGCCTTATTTAGTTAGAAAATAATAATAATAGAGCTAAGTATACGACTCTAAAGGGCTATTATATTATAATAGCCGTACTTATATATTATTATATAAGGGGCTAAAGAGGGAGGTTATTAAAATATATTATAATACGCTTATAATAAGATATTATAATATAAAGCGAATAATAATATTACTAAAATACTATTATTATTAAGATAGAGTAAGTAAGGATATAAAAAGTTATATTAATACTTATATAATATATTAATAAATAAAGCCTTATTATTATAAGCTATATAACTTACTATGCCCCCTATTTACCTTAATTAGGCTATAATAAAAAATATTACTAAATTTTATTATAAGCTTATTTATATCGATTACGCTAATTAAAAAGCGCCTTTATAATATAATACTTATTATAATAAACCGATTTATAAAATATAGCGTCTATATTATTACGAGGACGACCTTTATAACCTAGGGATTCGTAAACCTCTTATTTATAAAAATCTTTACTAAGTTTAGAATATTTAAAAAGATCGTCTTTAATAGGGAGTCGTTATTTATAAATAAGTTTTAAACTTATTTTTATTATTTTTTAATAATAAAGAGGTATCTTAGTACTACGTTCTATTTATAAATAGATAGTTAAATAGAATAATAGAACTAATATTTAGAGTAGTACTTTTACTACTTCTATACTTAAAACTAATTAGATTAAGTATAGCGTCTTTACTTAATTAAGTTTATATATAATAACGCTTAGTACTTAGTAATTTATAAAACGCTTATTAAGGCCCTACTTAGGTTCTTATTTACGTACTCTATATTAATCTTAATAAGGACTTAAAATAGTATATAAAATATTTTAACTAAGGAGCATACGGCCTAATTATAAGCTAATTAAAAAGCTTTACGACCCCTTATATAAAAAACACGCGAGATATATAAATAATAAACTAATAAAACTAAAATAAATATATTATATAAAGTAAGTAACTAAGTACTATTATTAAAAAAAAATATTAAAAAGTAGCGTCCTAGCTAGAAATTAGTTAATAAGTATTTAGGCCTATTTAAAATTAAATTAATAATTAGAACGGCGGGGGTTACTTACTAACTAAATATACTAATATAATATAAAATATATAATATATTTTATATATCCCTACTTAAGCTATATTAATACTATAAAAAAGCCCCTTAGAAGCCCTTATTTATTAAGGATATAAATAGGGAGCTACTTTATAAAATAAAAAATATTATATAATATAAAAGACTAAAAAAGAGGTAATAATACTTAATTTAATAAAAAAGATATAATAATAATAAAAATACGTAAGAGCTAGCTAAGTATATTAAAAACGTAATATTAATTAGTATATATAAAAAACGAGTTTTAATTAAATAGCGCGCCTTAGTTTTTAAAAAGCTTAATAATATAATAAACTAGTTATTAATAATAAAAAAAAGAGGGCTATATAGCTATAACTAAGTAGTATAAACGTACTAATTACTAACCGTTTTCTTAATTTTTATAATATATAAAAAGACTACCCTTATTTATAAAAGAACTACTTTTATATATAAAAAAGCCGCCCTAGTTATTATCCTAGGGGTTATTATAAAAAAAATAATCTCTTTATTATTAGCGAATTTATAAATAATTAGCTACGAATACGGAGTATAAGCGGGGCGATTATATATTAATTAAAATATTATTAAAGTAGTATATTTTATTACGAATAGTACGAAATAATATAATTATAATATCGTTACGGGACGTAGATATAGTATAAGAGGAGCTTATAACTACTTTATTATTATTATTATTAATAACGGGGGTTAAGTAGGCTTTTTTATTAGCGCGCTTAAGCGCCCTCTATATATTACTAATAGTAATTTAATAAGTTTACTAAAACTATAAAATAATATTAATAACCTAAATAATAATAATAATAAAGTAATAATAGAGTAATAAACCTCTAAATTATAAACGTTACTATTAAAAATAAGTATAATACTCTAAAAAGTTCGTATTATAAATTCCGCAAACTTAGGGACCTAAAATACTATTAATATAATATTTAAAAAAAATAACGGAGCAGTAATAATACTAAGTACTTACTATATTTTTATAAAAATAGTTCTGCGTAGTATACTTAATATAACGTATACTAAATCCTAAAAAAGTATTAAATAAAAGAGCGAACTAAGGGCTATAAATTACTAACCTAGCTAATTATAATACTTAGCTTTTAAATCGAGCGCTTTATATATAATATAAGCGGGATAAGAGAGCGAGCGTACTTAACTAACCCCGATTTTCTTAACGTTCGCCTTTTTTTTTTTTAATAAAAGTTTATAATAATTAGTATAAGTAGTATATAAATAGTAATATATATATAAAGTTAGGGTAAGTAAAGGGGATATTAAGCTTCTTAAGTAGACTATTATTACTACTATTACTAAGTATACCCGTAGTATTAATAACTATTTTATTATTAATAATAATAATACCGTAATTAGGGGCTATAATTATACTAAAATAAGTTAATAATAACTATAAAACGACTCTAAAAAAAGACTTACTTAGGTATAGAGAGTATATAAAAATAAGGATCTAAGAAATATTTATTAATTATAATATCTATATAATAAAAGAATAGTATAGATATTAATAAAAATAAAAGACTATATATAAAAAAAATAACTATAAAAAAAAAAAAAGAATTCGGAATTATAATAACTTAAAAAGGGGTTAATATTAATAAATAAAAATAGGGCGACGACTACCTAAGTATTAGTAATTATAAAAACGGCTTATAAATAAGAGTAACCTAGGTATAAAATTATAAAACTATTATCTAGAATAAAGGGTCTATACTCGGGCTAACGGGTGCTACTTATACTTACTCTCGTATTATATATTTAAGGACTTTTTAAGTAAGGGATTAATATAACGTATACGAACTATAAGCGGGCTTTAGGATAAAGCCTAGGGGAGGGAGTACCTTATTAAGCCTTACTAATTAGGCCTTATTAATTAAGGGATAGTTTAGGGAGTATAAAGAGGGGGACTAAATAATAAAGGAATAGCTTAGGTATATATAAAGTACTAATAATATACCTTAAGAGAAGGGTAGATTTTAGTAATTTATCTTTTAGACCCTAATAGTAGTTAGCCCTTATAAGCTTCTTCCCTGCGTTATATACCTATTAACACTAGAAGAGACTAATGTCTATCAGAACAAAGATTAAGCTGAAGGTACAGGTAGTATGCTTCTAATCTATTATCGGCTCATAGAGATCAAAAGTCTATTCGGCGTTAGGAACTGAGGCCGGCGCCGTGACACCTTCTTCGTCTCTCTTAGTGATTCCCTCCTTCTTCTTGTCTCGCTTGTACAAGAAGGCCACCGTAGCGGTGATCAGTGCTTGGGCACCGAAAGCAACAGTCGAGAAAATGAAGCCCTTCTTGAATTTGGGCGAATCAACTTGAGGGTACGTCAGGATCGGAACCCAGGCATTAAAGGCATAGCCCAGCGAGTTCATGATTCCTATGACAATTGCACGCTCCTCGGCATCGGCGCCGCAAATCTCGTTCGTCCAGCTCATGCTGAGTGGTCCGTACGGTACGGAAGCGCGCTGGAGAAGGAACGCAAACCACTTCAACCCGTCTGGTACATTCCAGATGGCGAGGATCAAGGCAGCGAAACCACCGAGGAAGGTGGATATCGACATGACGCTGGCACGATGGCGGATCGCGTCGGAGAGGATGGCGAATGACACCGTAAGGACCAGTTGAATAGCTGAAGCCGCCGTTGGAATGATATTCTGATACCTATGTTAGCTACGTGATACCATAGACCACCCATGAGCAAAGTCAACTTACAATCTTCTCCACAGACTCGCCCTTGGATTTGAGCCAGAGGGAGAAGGGATTCACACTGCTGGAAGGCCCAATATTGATGAAGATGATGTACAGAATGGTCAGAAAGTAGACGTGCCAGCGACCAAAGATTCGCTTGAACGCAGAACGGCCCAATTTGGTTCGCGGAGCACGTCCGACACTCTCCATCCGCCTGCGGGCAAGTTCACGGTCCTAGGTGATTGTTAATAACTGCGGTCCCTCAAAATTAGTGAAGTTGGTTTCACTCACATTCTCAGTCAAGTAGAATGCTCGTGTATTCTCCGGGAGATCAGGCAGGAAAAAGTATCCAGCAATGCAAATTGGCAGACTGATGATTCCATCCATGATCTGTAAGTCGGAGGCCGAGTCAGCACGCGGTTTCGCAGGAGTCGTCTCCACCAAAGCACGCCATATGGGATCGAGGGGGTGCTTACAAATAGCCACTTCCAACCTGCTAAGCCATGGACGCCGTTGAGTCCCTTATAGACGCCAGCTTGCAAATAGCCCGAGAACATGCTCGCCGCAGCCGAAGAGGCGTGGAAGATGCAGGCTCGCTTGCCGAGCTCGGAGGGCTTATACCAGGAGCCCAGGATTGTGTGAGCGGCCGGATAAAAGATTGACTCTGCCAAACCCACGAAGAAGCGGATTGCAATGACGTGGTTTGAGGTCTTTGCTGCCGCCAGACAGAACGTCAGAACTGTCCAGAGAAGCTCACAGGAAGGCACCCAGATGGACGGGCGGACTTTTGTGAGAACGATCTGCGAGGGGATCTGGCCCACGACGTAGCCGACGGTCCACGCTGTGTCGATGAGATTGATCTCGTTCCCGTTCATTGCGAGATCTTCCTTCATGCCGCTGACGAAAGCATTGCTGATGTTCGTCTGGTCGAGGTTTTTGATAAAGTAGCCGAAGCTCAGCATCGTTATCAAGAAGACATCGAGCTTCTGGATGAATACGCGCTCCTCCTGCGACCGACCCGGTTCGTAGTCCCAGATATAAGACCACCATGGCGCTTTCTTCTTCTGGAGTACTGCAGAGTTTTGTCCGTCTGAAGAAAACTCGTCCACCGTTACTCCCTTGGGAGACGCGGACGCGTATTCCTGCTCTGACCCCATGCCGAGCAGAGGTGAGAGCTCTAGTGAATCCGTAGGGTTAGTCACTTACAACGGAAAGACAGAGAGCAGCTCAACAGATGGTGGATTGAACAGCCGCAACTTTCAAAACCACAACGTCTTCTAATTTTGGGGGATCCCGTACCTGATTTATGTATCTCGCTTCCTGATAAACTGGCCATCGCGCTACGCTAAGGGAGGTTTCAAGTTGGCCACAATCTCACGGATACTGGAGAACTGCCCAGATAACACTCTGGGAGTCGTGTGGGTTACAACGGGGTCCGATGCTTGATGATGTGCTGCGAAGCGCTGATGATTCGCTACCCCTTGGCGTGGGGTGTGTCGCCATCGCGGGGTCCAGTGTCGTGATTCGGCCGTCGCTGCCTCAAAAGCGCCCTCAACGCCGTCCATCTTCTCTGTGCAAGGTGTCTTAGCATCGGAGTCTTGCCGACTAGACTCTTCTTATTGCCAGGGAGACAATGTAGGTGTCAATCTCATTACTTACTTTATTCGATCCCGCGGAGCACTACTGCCGATACGGAACATTATTCCCGGCAGTTAGCTACTAGTGACGGATGGCTCCGTTGGACATTGTCGCATTGCAATTTCGTTATAAAGAAGAGCGAGATGAATCGGAATAGTATACTGAAGCCTATCTCTCGCACTTATGGCGCATCCTTTCGGAAGACCGATCGGCACCGGTGGACGTTTGACGGGCCGGACGCCGGTCCTGTCCCACAAGGGCCGGGCCTCCGGATTTTGTGTGCCCCATAATTGACTCCCGGTCTTGGGGACGATGCATGCGCCATGCCCTCAGTGCCCCTCCCGGATACGGTACCGGCCCGTCGGGTCGTTACGTAGTCGAGGAGTTCCGAGCCCGCTCGTCGGGATTAGCACCCCAGAAGGCTTGAGAAGTGATTCTACATCGCGCTGTATATCTACGGTTTCGGGATCATGCATAGACCGGCTGAAGTGAAGTAAAATATGTAACTATCAGATCTATGCGTGTTCAATTGAACAAGAAGAAGAAAAGGCCAAAAGGGGAAAAAGAAGAAAAAAGACACAAAAAGGCATTGTTCCAACCTTGACGATAAGTGACGTCCTCAGAGAAATATGTGAATAATAAAATCAATGTGGATTAGAGGGGAACAAGAAGGGCGTTATATGTTCGACTGGGTATGGATGAAGGATAGACCAAGGCTTCATGGGGAGCCGTAATGTACTAGGTAGCTACTTTGCCACTTAGATGCAAAGAAAGGCTATGAATATGCAAGCCAACCATGCCAAGCATTTCTCATTCGTTCTGCCCTCGATACTGATATGTACGCAGTATTAGCGAGTCTGTCCTGCAATTCTTTGAACTTGGCCGTAGGAGCCCCTTTGTCAAAAAGTAAGTCTAGCTCAAGATACGACAGCTTCTTTGTCTCAGGTAGTCGAAAATAGCACCAAATAAGACACAAGAGAGCCGTGATCGCGTAAACCAGACAAGATTTACCAGCCAGGTTCCAAGCGGTTGGGTTCAGAAGCTGTGGCGCAATAACGTTGTTGATGATGGTGAAGATATTGTAGACTACCCTCGCCAGGGCAACGGTCTTGACTCTTAGACGTGTTGATGGAATTTCTGCCACGATAACATAACAAGCTGGACCGATGGTCATGTTGTAAGTAAAGGTCATCAAAATGATAAGAGAGCCGAGGGCCCAATTCATTGAAGGATGGCCGCCCAGAACAATCGATAGGATACCACCAATGGTAAGGATGATGACTGCCGCTATCAACCCAGCAAGGTAAAGCCTACGCCGGCCAATCAGTGATAGCAACATCCAGGATATCATACCACCAACGATGCCGAGACCATACATTCCTGTGGCGAGACTGAATGATTTGGAGGATTCGAAGCCAGCTTGTTCCAGAAAATAAGGAGCATATCCAGTCAGGGTGGCGCCGCACAAGGCTTGACAGGACCACGTCATGCAGCAAACTTCAGTCCTGCGTCGGTTCGAACCTTTGAACAAATCAAAGAAGCTCGCGCCACCATAGCCCAATTTTTTCTCTGTCGCATTAACATGCTGCATAACAGCGAGCGTATCGTCGATATTGAGGTTCTTGCCGCTTGTGAGTCTTTGCAGTGACTGTCGTGCTTCTGAGAGTCTTTCGTGTCGGACTAGCCACCCTGGTCACGAGTAGTCAATAAATAGCCAAACTTGTTTAAACCTATTTGGATGTCTCTTACAAGGACTTTCCGGGGCAAAGTAAACGACAAAGAGCAATGGAAGCGCCCAAGCCCATTGTAGCGCAAATGGTAACCGGTATGACCATTGGGACGTGTTGTCGATGAGTGATCTCAGAATGCCAGTGCCCAGTAGCTGGCCAATGAGCCAACACATATTCACATTGCTGAGAACGACGGCTCGTACAGCTGAAGGCACAATCTCAGCAGCGTAAGTCGCCCCCAAGGTCTGGATGACTCCCCATGATAGGCCTGATGTTGGAGTTGTAAGCTGAAAGATCAAAGCATGTCTGAGTAACCAAGAAATACACCCAAGACGCTTACTCACCACAAAGGGCTTGGGAAGAAAGTAGTACAGCGATGTTCTGGGCAAAGAAAGCTGGGGAAATGGCTAGGCACAACCATCCAAGAGCAATCATCATCATTTTGCGATACCCGATAGCATAAGTGATGTACCCATGGGCAAGGAGCCCAATGATCTCGCAAGTTACTGCAGCATTCTGAATTCCCATCTGCCACAATGGCGAGATCTCATAGTCTTTGTCCTGTATGGAGTTGGCGCCCGGCAGTCTTGGTTCGCCATATTTGCGTCTGAACGAAGGAAACGCAATGAATCCGGAAATAAGCGACTTATCGTAGGCCTCCATTACGACTGTCAGAAACAGGAGCAGTGACCAGATGATGGCTTTGGGAAAGTGACGGAAACTTCCGAATAGACTTATGTCCTTCTCGGCGGCGAGACCACGATGGATGCGCGCACCCGTGCCGTCCGAACTTGTTGAAGCACGAGGAAGCCATAGCACACTATTGATTGTGTTATTGTGAACATTTGATCTTTGACGTTCGAGTTCCTCTCCGTCCAAGGGGTTCGTGTCCGCGATAGATGGTTCTTGGTGCGAGGCAGTTGCCTTGGGGGTTATGGATATCAGAACGACCTCATCTTTGCTGGTATTGTCAACTGAACCAAACATGTTGACAAAGTTCCAAAGCGCCTGGGATAGTAAAACAAAGTTGGTTGGAAAGTGAGCATTGGATGTTGCATCTTCGATCGTGCTGTCGGTCAGATAAGATTTTGTATGGAACCACAGCTCGTGTTCATGGCTCCACTTAAGCTGGTGAAAGTTGGGTTTCGGGCTTCATCCTAGGCTATCCGACCATTTCCCCAGACTATCCCCTGATCTTCCCCAGGGGCAAGTCTCTTTGGTTGATTCCTAGCCTCTGTCGTGGTAAGTTTGCGCTAACTTAGTACAAGCTAACCCACCGACACGGCTCAGCGCATACCGCGCCGTGTACGCCAAGTTTCCTTCGCGATTTTCAGCGGAGCTTGGCAAATACAGTAATTGGTTAAATGGATTCTACAGCCACTCCGTAGAACAATCATTGCTTATGATTCCCTGTCAGGCTATGCAGACGGTCGAATCAGAAGGCCGTACCTTGCTCTCCTGCCTTGGATACATGTATCTTCACCGGTACCCTAATGAGGGCGACTTGAACTTTAGTTCTGTAGCGCTGACAGGATTCGGAGGATGGTCTTGAAAGCAGAGCTTTGATACAGGGATCTTGTACTAGCCAAAGGCCATCAATATCGGTAAGAAACAACCTGGATCGATGCCAAAGAAATCATGGGAATGGACCTCCCTGATACTTGCAGTTGGGATATTCGGCGCCACCTGTTTGAGAATCTTAGCTCGAGTCGATAGCCATGCTTCCCTTCGGCCTTTTTCTCGTATAAGCGATTTCACTAGTCACATATGGAGCTTGTCACGCCTGGGATAATGGACCTTATAGGGTCAAGGCCTGCAGCCACGCTGAGCTATCGATGCATCCCCCTTTCCGTGGAAACCATCCTGAGCTGAATCTATGTGTTCCGTTCAGCCAAATCCCAGCAACGCCACAAACGCCCATACCTCGTGTCAAGAAGAACAAGCATTCAATGTCTGCTTACCATATCAAAATGTAAGTCTGAAAGGGGTCGCTAATTTCTTATGCCCTTCAACTTTTTAATGATAGTAGCGATTATGATAAGCCCTTCTGCCTATCTTTGGTTTGCTCTTAGTTAACGGCAATGCCTACAACGCAGAGAGTTTCATAAAGAAGAACAAGCATCCGCACATGATAGTTCACGGTCTCCTCACGTAACTCGACGTATGGCACTGCCATAACTTTCCCTTTTATGACCTCTCTTTTGGTGGGAAACCTAGCGTCGACACTCGACCAATGATGTCGAGTTCTCGACTTGTCCCTGGTCCCTTTTCATTGAAAACATGACAGGATGTCAAGCGCTCGAATGCAAAGGCCAGAGTCTACGCCTGTCACTTGAGCTAGTGCGTGGTCTTACCACATCCCGTTTAGTCAACTACTGCGTGCTCTCTTAGCTCAAATTATAACTCGGTGTCAACGAATCATTCTGGAACAGAAGTGTCACGCCCAATTAGGTACCTGGGCTAGCTTTGGCTCTCTGGGGATGGTGTAGAGAGATGGAACCACTTTGACGTAGGTATTGCTTGAGTCAGCCCCACCTACTTCCGCGAACTTGGTTTTCGGGAGAGATAGGCGGAAAGCCCTATGGGAACTAGGGATCCGGCTTTGCTTCAAGCAACCGTGTTTCTAACGGCTGGCGCAAATTTCAACATCCTTTAAGTGTGGTGGCCTGTACACAGTGAAGTCCAATCTTAATCATCCTGTGTGGGTCATGTCAAAAGGCTCGAAGTGTGCTGCGAATTAGTCCGTTTTTGTCAGTGTACTACATACATCCAATGGGAGCTTGAATGTTCAGGGTCGAAGCTGGAGACTACCACCACGACACAGCGCCGATTTTTCCAGCTACCCCGGCCATGCAGCGGATGCCTCAAGGACCAATTTTTCATTGTGCGATCCTTCGCCGGTCTTTGCCACTCAGTAGGCGTCTGAACCCAGGCCTGGCGAGCCGCGCTCACCATTATCGCTCAGCAAAACGCTATATAGAAAGCCGACGGCGTCGTGGTGAGCCTCTTCGGTAGAACGCATAGTGTCACGAATTATGATGGCACACAGCAATGGGCATACGGAGTGCGGTAAAGTAGTTTAACCCATCGAAGTGGAAATAGACAATAGAGAAAAGTCTATATACAGGATGTAAGTGATATATACGTGATACAGCACCTGACGGGCACTTTGTGGATTGCGATTCATATCCCTGTTATGTGACATATGCATAGCCTTAGCCAATCAGTCAACCTTAGCCTGCCTTACATTGGCTTCGGCTTGCTTTGCGCGTCGCTTTGCTTCTAAACTGTCCTATGCTTCCTAGGAGAGCAACCGCTAGTCGAAACCCCTTAAAACCTTCTCCTATATCTCTGACAATAGAGCCTCGAATTACTTAGAATCGGTAAATGGAATAGACTAAATTACTTTATACCGCGTCTTGTATCATAAATCCTTAGATAACATACGGCCAGTCTAATACTTATATTAGCAATGCAAACAAAAGAAGGGGCAAGGCTTACCCCAGGATAGCTCGAGCTAGATAATGGAGTTAAGTAGGATGCTACTGCGGACCCACTCCACTAGAGAACGAAAGGCACTCATGTTCAGCCCGGCCAGGCAGCGAGTGGTTGGGCGTTGCCATGAGAAGTAATGGTATAGAGAATGTTGCCTCTTGTGCATATCCTATGGTTTGCTTCCGAAATCATGTTGGGGAGATTGCTGGGCTTTTCTTATTTTTGCTGTCGCTTGATGCGCTCGGAAGCTGCGAACGACTACGCCTGAGGAGAGTCGGTGTGTTGCTTGTTAGTCCCCCAACGTTCGTCACCTTCAACGTTCGATATATTGCAGTTGTGTTATATTGCAGCTGTGTCATATTGCAGTTATGTTATATTGCAGTTGTGTTTTGCTGCTGCAAGTGTGTTCTGTTGCAGTTATGTTATGTCTCAGTCAAGGCTTGTCCCCACCCGTCACAACACGCATACCTAACAGAAACCTAAGACATATAACACACTATGCTAAAGGCACGAGGGAAACCGATGGCCGACGCGGATCTGTGCCTGACTTTCTGCAACCAGGCCTGCATTGGGACCCTCGAAACGCAGTACGACAAGTGCCTGAGCTAACAGGCGGGGCGATCCCAGGGTTCTTTCCGAGTATCAGCTTCTTCGCCTTCCGGAACACAAGCATTCTGCAGTAAATCCAAGGCCTGGTTCCCAGACACGTAGCGGTGCTGCTTCCTAGATAGCGTCCTATACTTCGCTTTCCGATACTAGCGGCAGGCCGATCTAGTTATTATACAATACGTTATCAATATCTTCGACATTCACCTCTAGCAGCGGGGGAAAGATATCTCCTTAAAGAGTACTACTTTCTTTTCGAAAGTTGCGGTAATATAAGACGTGTTAGGTCTTTCGAAATCAGGCGTAATAGTCGGGGCTAATACTATCTATTCTAGGCCCATTTTGCAATCTTCTAGAGTACCTTAACTAAAGGCACTCCGCCGCTACTTCCACTACTTTACGATATAATTCTTCAAGCGCTTTCTTTATAATGCGCCCTTTTCTATCACGTACCTCTCTATATACCACCCAGCTCTTCTCTACCTGTTGTTCGCTATAGTCCCGGCGAAGTCGTATCGTCCCAGCCAGGATGTCTGCGCACGACTCGTTCCAGCGGTTGAGAAGGCCCCAGCAGTTGCCCCTACGTATCGGTCAATCGCTGCCTTCCTTCTTGACCTTTGCAGTTGCGGCAGGCATCCTCGGATGGTCTAGGTAAAGTTTTCCTCATCTATAGCTTTCTACTTTCGTTTCCCCTCTCTCTACCGCTCGGCTACGACGAGGTATAAAGATGTCGCTATATGTAGATAGTTGGAGTTATGGTCGATATTATTCTCTACTTCGCAGCTGATCGTCCGGTTAACGAGGTCTATAGTGACGAGATAGAAGTCAATAATTGTCTAGTGATCTCCTTGCTTGTTTGTGACGGTTCTCGGCTGTAGTCGACTTGAAAGGTTCATAAAACTGAAAAAGCTAAGTTCCGAGGAAAATGCGACCCTCTATCAAAAAGCTAGTGGCGCAATCATTCTCGGGCAAAACTGCAAACGACGCATAATGGCAAAGATTTATGGCAACAGTCTAAGCCGAAATTTATGTTTATCTTATGATTCATCGGCGAGAAGAACTACTGCTAATGGGGTCGTCCTCTTGATCTACGCCTGCCACTACGCTATGTTCAACTACACGAAACGTGCATATTGACTGGGCCAAACACCATCCTCAATTTGTCACGATGTCAGCTTACCATCGTCGCAAAGTCATTTGAGAGTCCAGACTATCGGATATCAAGGCACAAGAACACTCGTGCCGCAATACCGCATGGTGCTAAGACCAGCCGCCGCCAAAATCAAACGGTACCATGTAGCCTTCCCGTGCTGTGAGATCCTAGCCTCCCAAAGTTCTTCGAAATAGAGGGCACCGACCCACCTCATTTCCAACATCTTACCTCTTCTTCATCTTCCCGAATAGCAGGTCATTGGTCCAGAGAGCTCAATGCGAGGAGTCCGAAGCTCGTAGGGATCTAACCGCTTTGGTAGGTCCCTACTCAGATCCCTGCCGGCATGGGCTCAGCCCTGTCCCATACGCAGGCTACAGCCATCTCACCTAAAAAGAGCGTCGTCTTCCCTCCACAGCCCAGCTCCGCCATTTTCAGGGCACCGCGCTACTGAAAAAAAAAACACCTGTGATTGCGACCTTGAACGTGGACCAGAAGCTCAGGCGTAAGCGGCATGTGGGTATGGGTCGGCCGCCTCTGCTGTGGGAACGGGACTTTGGTATACTCTAACCAACAGCTTTAGAGTCAGGACCAGGGTCATTGATGAGGGCTGCATTAAGCTATTCTGCTTTCTCGCTAGTGAGATGACGAAGTCCTGGGGCTAATTGTCTTTCGACGACCAAAGTCCCAAAAACATTGACATGGCTGAGATTTTCTTAGAGGTTGTTCGGGATGCCCTCACGCTCTGTAGCATCCGCGTTGCCGTGGCCCTTGCAAGAAAGTTGCCTGGAGGATCAGCATACACAAACGATGTAAGCTGCGTTTGACGCTTCCGGCGCGTGCCTGGTCAACTTCACCCGACGTATGATATATAAGTCGAGAATGTCGGGCTCTTGCCGAGACAAAAGATCACCACTCCAGTTCCTTCAGCATCACGTCTCTCTCATCCTCTATTTCCATCTTTCTAATAGTAATTATACCATTCATTGAGCTCGTTACCCCAAAGCACCATCATGAGATTCGAGACAGTCTCCGGGGCCGTGGCCCTTCTCGCCCTGAGCCACTCCGCGGCCGCCGACCCGGTAAACATCAAGCTCCAGAGTCGCCGTACAAACCTTTCAAAGGCGAAGGCTCTCAGCAAGCGCGCGGCCACCGGCTCAGTCTCCTTGACCAACTGGTTCGAGAACTTTGACCTCCAATGGATTGGTGAAGTCGACGTCGGCACCCCGCCCCAGAAGCAGTAAGTCTTGTAACCCACGCGCTGCCGTCTTTCTCAGTCTCCCGGGACATTAGGCGGAGCAGGTAGACTAACACGCTCAACTCTTAGTATCGTCACCTTCGACACTGGCTCAACGGACTTGATCCTTCCCTCAACAGCCTGCACGAACTGCCTCGTCGCCAAAGAATTCAACGCCTCCTCCTCCACAACCTTCTCTCCCCAGCCCGGCTACAACGTCACAACCGCCTTCGGCACAGGCGGCAAGTCCGTCCCCTACGCCGTCCCGCAAGCCGCGTCCGGCACCGTCGTAACCGACGCCGTGACCGTCGGCAACCTCACCGTCGCGAACCAGACCTGGCTCCTCTGCGACACCTACGCCGAGGCCTTCAACGAAATGCCCAACATTGACGGCATCTTCGGCCTCGGACCCCCTGGCTTCTCCCACTTCTCCGCCGAGACAAACGCCTCCTTCTCCACCTGGTTCTGGACCCTCGCGCAGAACGGCGGCGTCCCGGAACCCCTCTTCTCCTTCTTCCTCAACTCTGGGGAGGGCAGCGCCCCGGGCGAGCTCACGCTCGGCGGCGTGAACAAGGACTACTACGAGGGCGAGATCGCCAATGTCGACTTCAACATGACGGTGTCCTACCTCGGCGGAAGCTGGTTCATCGACCAGCCCGCCTTCTACGTCAACGGCAAGACCGTGTCCAACTCCAACGCCTCGGGCGAAGCGTTCCCCGTTGGCGTCTCCAACGTCGACACCGGCACCGCGTTCCTCCAGACGCCGGACTACCAGACCGCCAAGGATATCTACGCCGCTATCAGCTCCGACATCACCCAGATCGACGAGCTCGGTGTCTGGGGCGCCCCCTGCGACGTGGTCGAGAAGCTCGACCCGGAGCTGACCTTCACCCTCGGCGTCGGCGACAACCTAGTCAACATGACGGTCCCCAAGGGCGCGTTCAACTTGGGCGAGTATCCCGGCCACAGCGGCATCTGCCAGACCATCTTCCTGAACCCCGTGCAGCCTATTAGCGAACTGGCGTCTATCTGGGTTCTGGGTAGCCCGTTGTTGAAGGGGTACTACACCGTGTGGAACGGTACGAACCCGGAGCAGCTTACCTTTGGCGTCGCGAGTCTGAAGGCGAATGCCACTTCCACGAACGGTACTTCGAGCCCGACGGCTACGCCGACTGCTGTCAGCGGTGGGGGCATCACCCGCCCGGCTGGCGTCTTTGCCGCGGTTGCTTTGGCGATGCTTGCTTTGACTTTTTAGATCGAAATGCGTGTTTAGATGGAATGTAATTGATTGATGTGATGTGTATATACGATGGTAGTGAAATAGAATACTTTAGATGATACACCTCAGAGGGCATCCTCTTTGATGAAATCAGCTGCCCGCTCCGCCACCGCATAAACCAGAGACTGGATGTTGGCCCTCGGAATCAAGGGGAAGATACTGGCGTCAACCACCCGCAGCCCCTTGACCCCGTATACCCTGAACCTCTCGTCGACCACACCACCTTTTGACCTAGGCAGCATGGCGCAGGTACCGCAGGGGTGGTACTCACTCTGCATACTGCTCCTAATCCATTCCTCTACGTTATCTATTGTTAGTTCATGGTATCCAGGTTGAAAAACTGTCCCATCACCCTGAAGAAGGTCGCTCAGCGGTTGTGTACGTGCGATAGTCTGTAGATGAAGTGCAATGGATTTCAAGAGCTGTGTATCGAGCGGATGAGAGAGGTAGCGTGGATCGATGATGGGGTGAACGGCTGGGTCGGCAGACTGGATGTGGATCGAGCCTCTCGAAAAGGGGTGCTCCAGGACCCCAAGGATGGAGAGGAAGTTGCCTGGTGACCCCGCCGAGAAGAGCTTGGTCGTATCAGCGGAGTACTGGGGCGAAATGCCGCCTTCAATTGTGAGCTCCTGGGCGATTGCTTCAGATTTGAGGTCTCGGAAGATGATGGCGTGTTGCTCGGCCAGGCCGAGGAGGTTGGTCTTCGGCGAGGGTAGAGACAAGTCCAGGGTAGAGGCGATCTGCTTCAAGGATAAGAGTGCAGAGCTAGCACCGGCAGAGGACAGACGCCCGGTCTTGGTTTGAAGGTACAGGTCGAGCTGTTCTTGGAAGTAGGTTGCGTTGGCGTAGTCTTCGTTTGTAGGTAGGTCGGGCTTCACCGCAAATCTGGAGCGACGATTAGTCATTATATTGGCCATAACTCCGAATACTTGAGATTTGAAAACTTACCCAAGAGGAACATAGACGTGATCCTGTAGATTCTCGCCGATGTTAGGGTTGTCAACGAATACCTCTATCCCGTGGCCTCCCAGGAGTTTCTTGTCTCCCACACCAGAGACCTCGAGAAGCTGGGGGGAGGCAATTGAACCAGCGGCTAGGACCACCTCCTTCTTCACGGTCGCTTCTTTCTCCAATCCATTCTGTGACCACTTGACCCCTTTGACCAAGACTCCATCACGAGTCTTATCCAGTACAATCTTGGTCACCAAAGCACCCGTAACCACCTTCAAATTGGCCCGTTGACGTGCCGGACCAAGATAAGCATTCACAGCGTAGCTTCTCGTGCCCTTGTCGATGTTGAGCAGGTTGACGTAGCCTCCCAAAGCCGCACCATTACGAGGATCGCCGTCGACACCGAGCCCAAGCTTCTCGAGAGTTCGCGGCCAGGCTTTGAGAAAGGGGCTGTAGAGTTGAGGGAACTCATTGGCTATGGGTCCAGTGGTGCCATGAACGCTAGGGTAAACGTAGTCAAGGAAGAGATCGCTCGTCTGCTGGCTCGATGGTGCAACAAACGATTCTGACTTTCCAAAGTAAGGGGCCAATGCCTTCCATGACCAACCGTCATTTCCCAGAGCGCCCCAGTTGTCTATATCTCGCTGAGAAGGGTGCGTCCAGAACATGAAGTTCATGGCGCTGGAGCCGCCCAGTTGCTTTCCGCGGATATGGGCGACGACTTTGTCATTGGCCGATGTCTGGATATGTCAGCTTGCTACGTTCAGTCAGGGTGAGGACCAAAGTTAAGGTAGATGGATACCTGGGGCACTGTTTTGTAGTCCCAGTCGTAGTCGGTATTGCCGTACATGGCGGGAAATAGCCCGGGAGCCAAGACGTTGAGGTCGGTAGAGCGATCCGCACCAGCTTCCAAGACGAGGACCGTCACTTGAGGGTTCTCGCTGAGGCGAGCTGCGACCGTCAGTCCAGCGGTGCCTCCGCCAACGATGCTAACACCACGTTAGAATCATACATTTGAGCTAGTTAGACCTCACAACTGTCACTCACATGTAATCATAAGTATCCGCCATGGTAGTCACAGCAAGGCTCATCCAAATGCTTGCCCAGTGAGGACAAAGTTTCGCGCGCATGGCCGGGCTAGAGATGGAGTGGACGAGGCAATGTCTTTGGGCGAGAAGACATCAGTGAGTTGGGAGTGTGAAGTTATATGCATCCGTTGAACTGCGCCTTAAAAACTACGAACGTTTACCCAGCAGAGCTTGCATTTATTGGATAGCTAATTGTGATCAATAATCAACAGCCTTCCATAGCCTCTTTGCCCGCAGATCCAGTAGATCCCGAAACCAGCGCCATTTTGCACGAACGCTAGACCAAGAGATAGCTGATTCAATGCGTATTACTGCGTCGAATAGCCTAGGTCATGCAATGAAGCCAGCACGATGCAACGCTGGTCATCAAATCTGTATGCACGATGAGTAAGCAAATGTCTTGCGGAACTCCGCAAGGATGGCGAGATAAAGTGACACCGGTCGGAATCCGAGCATCGGTCCGTCTGTAGGGCGACGGTTGTGTACATATGCATACATGTTGGAAGCCTGCATACTGTCAAGTCCACATTTAGTCAGTCGGGTTGGCCAGCTGCATCGAAAGAGGTAGGAGTCGGAAGAACGAAGCCGGACCACCGCAATTTGGCCCCATGGCACCAGCCGGTCCCGCTTGACGGCAAGACACCGTTGTGACCTGTGTCAATGACTTCAAGCATCTGAACACCGCTGTGCTTGAGTTCCCTCGTTCCAACAACCTGATTGATGCGGGCTGATGTCGTCAACAGGTAAGAGAAGCGGCAGCAGTACCGAGACTTGCCTTGGGCAAATGCAAAGAGTCGCCTGTGAGATGCAATAACTTTTATCATGCAGTCGTGATATGCCCAACACCTAAGTATTATACAGATATCCATTTGATGCCGGTGTTGTGGCATCGTGCCGTCCTTTGCAACAGCCTACTAGTCTCCTACATGATGATGTACAGGGTATTTCGAATTGTGTCTCCTTCAGCTTATTGCTGGCGCTTCGCGTAATCGGAGCCGGGGCCGTACATAATGATGGGTCTTCGGTTGGCCCTTCGGAAAGCCTCCTCGGCAATGGGAGAAGCATCGGAACGGATGACACTACCGATGGACATGAAGAAGCTGCGAGGCTGTTAGTCTTCATATGTATGAAGGCCAGACCTGACTTTGCCTACCCGAAAGTTGCTCCTGAACCAAGCATGTATTGTCCCAGGGTTCTCATGATGCCGTTGGGGCCGGCACCGTAGCGCATGATGTTAACGGAGCCTGCGGGGGTAGCTAATTAGTCGATGCGATGCGAGAGAAGGAGGGAGAGTTTGTTACACACCGAAAACGAAGCCCATGACGGATCCAACAGCTATATAATGATCAGCGGCAAGGTAAAAAGGGCTGGTAGGCCAGTCTAGACGTACTTCCACCCATGAGGGCACCCATCTTCACTGCGGAGAGTTAGCTAGAAGTTCTTGTAAAGGTTGTAAGAGGAGGGTCGTACTCTTGTCGGCGATTCCAGGGCCCATGGCACCACCATGTTGCGCAGGAACGGGAGGCATTATGAGAAGAGAATCTGTACAACAGAGAAGACTGTGTGTTGGGTATCAGATGGTGAATCGAGCTCCTGGTGGTGCTCAATACCTATTGTATAGTCAGTCGTGCGATGGGAATCGGTGATGTTTGCGACTGTGGGCTAGGAGGAGCTCTTCCAAATTGCTGCACCCAATACAAGTGGCCGAAGGTCAGCCTTTCCGAGCCGGGTGCCACTGGAGCTTTGGACGAATCGAATCTGGGGAACGGCAGTTATTCGGCAAAAAGACTGAAGCGGCTAGCCCCACCTTTCGAGGTTCGAGCCAGCGCGGAGGTTCGAGGGAAAGGAAAGAGCAGCGATGTCACGGTCACCTGGAGCACAGGCCATCTCACCTTGAACGCCTTACTACGTAGACCCGTTTCTGTCAGCCTGGTCTTTTGATTGGCTGTATGACCTTTCTTTGTGAGGCACCCACACATCTGGCTTTGGAGCATGTCACGTGCCTTGCATCGAGTCTTTGAACAGCGCAGGCGACCACCGCAAATGGAATGTGACGGTGGGCAGGTGAGGGTGGATCCCTACGGCTAAGGCAAGAACAGCAGCCAGCTGGACTGGAGGCGATGACAGCACAGTGACCAGACCAGACCGCCTTCACCCGGATGAGCACCAGTTCCTTTTTTTTCTTGCTTTCTTTCTCTCCTCTTTTTTCTTGTCACTACCACACCTCTTCCCTCTTTCTTTGCTACCTTATGATCTTGTTCATATGAAGATCACATCCTAGCTGGCCCATGGTGGAAAAATCCAGTCAAACACCCAAGCTTTTGGGGGCCTGTGCTCAGCTGAAGTGAACTGAACACTCACACTGAACAGTAACCGAACCAACTGTGGTGGACTGAGAATTTTCCGGTCCCTCGGTCTCCCACCCGCTGACGCTGAACCTTTGAGGCCCTGCTGTTTCCGACCGCCCATGTCCCAGACTCCCAAGTCGGCTCCGGCGCGTGTTTCCGAACGCTGTTTGGCCCGCCCACCACAGGCTCTCCCCCCAGCGCCAGCGGCCCAGCGCTCACCTCACGCACTTACGCTAAGCGCTTAGCGAGACGGGGCGACACGTTCTGTTCTCTTTGCCCAAATCCTAGATTCAACCTCACCTACCTACCCACGGAGACCACCCGATCCGCCGACGACGCTTCCGCTTGAGCCCATCGTCGACCGTGGTGCTCAAAGAAAACCGTCTCTTTGCCCACGTCCTCGACATTGCTGGTATGTCTCTCTTGCCTGTCTGATCCTTTTTGGCCCGGTTTTCTGCGACCCCCCGTCCCGTCGCAGGCCGTTTCTGGGCCGCGCCAATTGGCTGCCCACCCCTATCCTTGCCGCGACATCATCGCTGACTTATTTTTTTAACCTGCCAGCTCAGCCTCATTGCTTTCTACCCTCCGCAGCGAACTCCCATCGATTCTATCTGACATATCTGCGTTATCTTTCGGCGGCTGATCTTTACGATACCCTCCGGGCTGCAGTGCGAATGGTCAAAGAAGGAGCCCCCGACGTCACCTAGACCAGACCATCCATCAATATCGATACCCTACGAGCTGTCATCACCTGCTCGTTCTTGCCACGACTTGCACTGTCCTACGATCCTTACCTGAATCGAACGACGACTTCCCCATGACTGCCGTCGCGAGCCCGCCCAGCTTCCAGCAACTCAATCGACCGGGATGGAATGTTAATGGCGGCCAAAGTCTGAATTCGATGAACCCAGAAGACGTCAGAGGCATGTTCGCTGCGCCTCGGAAGACGCTGCAGCGGAGCAACTCTTCCTCCTCGGTCTCATCTACCTCCTCCAACTCGTCTACTACCACTGTTGCCACCAATGGCTCGCAATCAAATGGCACCCCGGCGTCCACAAACTCTGACATGAGCTGGTCCAGCACCGCCTCGAGAAAGCGACCACAACCCAAAGGACCATGGCCGCCAGGCAAGCCAGAAGGTCAAGCCGAGTTCGGCAGACCTATCATGCGAAACGCCATCAACGGCATCAATGGCGGTTCGTCGCTGCAGACGGCTCCAGGCCAACCGCAAATGATGTCGCAGCAGGGACTCGGGGCAAGGCCCATGGGCGACCCGATGCCTAGCGGGCAGCCTGTGCTCTACCTCTTGTCGCTCAATGGTACCTTTGAACGCAAAACCATCTCGGTACCATTCTACCCAGAAAGCCTCCGCATCGGTCGCCAAACCAATCAGAAGACGATCCCGACTGCCACCAACGGCTACTTTGATAGTAAAGTGCTATCAAGGCAGCATGCTGAGATATGGGCAGATCGCACCGGCAAGATATACATCCGCGACGTCAAATCGTCCAACGGAACCTTTGTCAACGGCACGCGTCTCTCCCAGGAGAATCGCGAATCCGAACCGCACGAGCTACAGACGGGAGATCATTTAGAGTTGGGAATCGACATTGTGAGCGAGGATCAGAAGACCGTCGTCCACCACAAGGTTGCCGCCAAGGTTGAACACGCCGGCTTCATGAGCCCCTCAAGTAACGTTATGGACATGAATTTTGGCGATTTGGACCCCGCAAATGGTGGCATGATGATGCCAGCACCGAGCCCAATGCCCTACCGTGGCAGGACTGGTAGTAATGCATCGATGGCCAGCAATGGCCGCATGATGGCACCCCAGAATATGGCCGGCATGGCCCCTAATGGTGGAGCAGCCCGTGGATTCTTGTTAACGCCCATTACCACGGAGCATATCGTCAAGAGACTTCACGTGAGTGTCCAAACCCCTAGACCTATTGATTGGAGCTAACTAGGTTGTAGAACGAGATGCGCAATGCTCGATTGCAGTCTCAAGACCTCTCCCGGACGGGCCAATTCGTTCACGCTCTCTTGAGCAAAGACGATGTAAAGGATCTCGAGAAGCCGGAAGCCCCCGAGCCTCCGAAGCAGCTTCCCAATGGCAACGCTCTACCCTTCCGTACCGATGCGAAGACCAGATTTTCCGATCCTCCTGCCCCGCCTCCGCAGCAGCCGCTGCCTGAGAAGCCCGATGTGCCTTCACTGAAACGAGGCACCACTGAGCGACCAAAGACTAATAGCACCACCTCGCCCGTTGGACGGGACAACTTGCATCAGATCATTCAGTTGACCGAAGCTTTGAATAATGCAAAGAAGGAGATGGATACCCAAACGGCCCGTATTAAGGATTTGGAAGACATGCTCCGAAAAGAACGGGAGGCACGCGAGCTTGCCGAGGATATGGCAAAGATCCTTGAGGACAGTGCCTTGAAGGAAACCAATGGCGCGCCCAAGGAACACGATACCGAGATTCTCGAGGAGGCTTTTGAGCCGCCCCGCGATACCGTCGACACCCAGGATATCGAGATGACAGATGCCGAACCGCTCTCCGAGGAGCCTGCTCCAGAGACCGCCGAGGATATTGCTGCACGTTTCCAGGTCAAGCTTGACACAATGATGTCAGAAGTGACGGACCTGAAACAACAGATGGAGGCATGGAAGAGCAGATGCGAGAAGGCTGAGACGGAGCGCGACGCCGATCGTCAAACTTTGGCCGAGATGGTTGCCCAGATTCGCAGAGACGAGGAGGCTAGGCAAAACGCTGCTGCTGCGGAGAAGAATCGTTCTCTTTCCCCAGGACGACGCGGCCGGAGCGAAGGACCTGCCGACAAGACAACTTCAGTTGTTCAGGCCAATGGATCCGGTGACTCGACGTCAGCTTCTACCCAGGCAGAGTCACCCGTGGACGACTTTGGTGACAAGCCCACGTTGTCACGAGCCAACACCATTACGCCACTTTCCATACCTCCAGGCAAGCTGGCAAAGGACCAGGCCATGATGGCCGGGGTTCCCTATGCTTCCATGCTTGGCGTGGTAATCCTTGGCATGGGTCTCATGGCTTACATTAACGGCTGGCAACCCGAGCCGACTCCCCGTCATTGACCGCGTCGTTTGCAGCTGGGCACATCTTGGCTCTATTCACTAGACAAGCACTTCAACGTTGGCGTTGCACATACTTATGGCGTTTCTTGCATCGAAAGCGGTCATTCGTTTTCCACCGACCTCTACCAACTCGCTTTTTCTTTCCCTATGTACCTACTACCTTTTCCTTTTACTGTATGAACTGCGAAGACGACGACGTTTTCTTTCCCTTTGTCTCTATTCTCACGGGCAATAGGGACGGCTGGGAGGGAAACAAATGGTTGGAGATGGCGTTAAAGATTTTCTTCCTTTCTGTGGGCTGGGGTCCTCAATCGAGGACGTTTCGATCGCGCTGCAAGCACGGTGTTCTTTTTGTGACTTGGGCAAACCAGGAATGGGAAATGGGATGATGGACGACGACGAACTTCTTTTTTTCACTACACTGGGCACAAAAGAATAACTCAAATTCGAGATGACACCTTTTTTGCTGCAGAAAGACAAATGTGTCCCGCTGCAACATCCCTGATGGGAATACTTGTAGTGTCACCCTTCGGTATGCGGGCGCATTTGCCGCGTGCCTTGCATGAACCCGTCATGCGGCTTCTAGGCCTCTTGACTCGGGACGCAGTCTACATGAACATGAGGGGAAGGGCTGTAGATTACCGGCAGTATGGCAGGGGTGGATTGACGAGATTAATGTTTGCATACAGTACTCAAGGCCGGATGGGAATACAAGGACCTTTTAATCGCTTACGCTCGTTTCCGACGCCAGGAGTCTTGAGGATTTGATCCTAGTCCTAATCTTGGCGAACAATGATCTCAGAGCTGTTGCATCGAATGTCAGACGGCCATTGATGACTGCCGTCCTCCCTTCGGCAACGATGTGCTTAGTCTAACCCCCATAATGATGCTGCTTTGCATCGTAACAAATTGGGCAGAAGGGTGAACACTTTCAAAATACGTGAGACACAATTATGCTGAAGGCCTACCTGCCTTACCACAGACAGATTCCAGATAAGAGGTGCTACGGAATGGAGCCCCAATGAAGGCCCGGCAACATTTGTGAAATGAAGCATTCCAGTGCCCATCACCACTTAAGTGTTGACTCCATTCTCCCCGACAACGCACATGTCAAACAAACAGTCAATAACCTTTTCAACTAGTTCGATGTCTACGACTTCGTCCAGGAGCCGTTCTTGACGATAATAACGACTTTTTCCTTCCCAGTGTAAGCGCTCGTTGTGATCCACTTACCATCGAAAGACGAAAGCTCAGTTGCCCCTCATTTTGGTACTACGGCTTCAAGATATCATTCCCACTAGGTCAGAAACAATCAGCGCGCCTACGCTTCTCTAAACGCCATGAATTGGGCAGATCATTTTGGTAAGCTAAACAGCTCCTTCCCGAAGTCACCTTAAATTTCAAGACTTGCTCACTGAATAACAGATGGGCATGGCCGCTCCTTCATCTACGAAGAAGACGTCCAGCCCATGAACCAACCTACACGACCCGCTAAGCCGAAATCCAACCCTCAACCTCGTCGTCCACCTCCACCCCCGCCAAAAAGATCAACAGACCCTCACGAAAACATCCACGCCTGGCTCTCGGGCGTCACGATCGACGAGGAACATGTACCCCTCGCATCAGACATCTTTCATGCTCTAGGCCAGATCCAAGGTCAGACGAAGGAGAGCCACCAAGCACCACCGGTGGACAAGCAGCAGAAGCAGGCAGAGACACAGACACAGAGACAGGCCGCCGGTCCGACGGTGACTGTCCACACCATGGGCCCGGGGTTCATCGGCCGCGCTCCGGCGTTTGGGACGTCTGAGTTCTTTGCGAATATGGTTGTTGTGGGGATTCTGTTGCTCTTCGCGCCGGGGTTCACGATTCTTGCGGCGGGGGTGTTTTTCACGTCGAGGGTTGCGGAGAGGTGGGCTGGACAGGACTGAGGGTTGGTTGTACGTGATGCTTGAAACGATTTTTGATGGTTCATGAATGTAAAAGAAGACTATTATGATTTGGAGACATGTTATGCTACAATGTTGTTTTAGGAATTGCCAGATTCAGTGTAGTTGAAGGATGGAAAGGGGAGTTGGGTTTGCGGTGGAGGATGCTTTCTATAGGTCCTAAGCAGTTAGATAGATGGAAAGGACGAATCTTAAGATGCTTGGAAGTATGGAAATCTGCATGATGCCGTCCTCTAGGTTGAGTGAGTTAAGTGGCCGAACGTGGCTTTCCATGACGAGATCCGGGGCTGAGTGGCATCAACGCCGGAAATATGGGGCACATCGGTCTCTACACCGGGCGATCGGCATGAATCTCGTCCCGTCGGTTAAGCCGTGGCCCAGCATACTTGCTTGTATTCCATGAATCCGTAAGGAATGATAAACGTAGGCCCTCGAGGCGGCCTAGCTCAAGGTCTATCATACCGACTGATGGCTGCGAGGAACACCTTCGCTTTGGCAGTTCGCACTACCCCAGAGTCGGACGTCTACAGGTCCGAGCAGTCCAGCCCCGAGATCCGAAAGTTATCCATAATTCCAGACATGCTTAAGCAGCTACCCTGCTAGACAGAAGGGGAACCTCCCGTCGGGGATGCGAGATTAGACAACTGCATGGTGATCCTCTTTCGCGTCGGGTTCGATGCCCCGTTTTAAATTGTGCCGCGTCCTTTCGGCCTCCCGCGGCAGCCCGAGCGGCATGGGTTCGACATCACAACCACATTTCTATAGCGATCCGTAATGACTTGACCCAGAGAAATGCGGCTTGGCGAATATTCGTATGGAGAGTGGGCAATACGAACATTACGAAGCGGCCGGCCGCCCGTACTGGCAGTCCCAGACTACTTCCCCACATGAGGCGCAATGCGGATGACCGCGGGCGTCCGCACTTACATAGGCTGCGATCCGAGTTGTCGGGATGATGCCTTTCATGTATTGAAAATTTGCTCAAAAGATAGATAGAAGAAGATATGTAACTCTAAGTCAATGGTTCGTCTGATATCCGTTCACTGCAACCTCATCATCTCATACCACTTGACACCAAACTTTACTGCAGACTCTATCCCACAATAGAGCCTGTCGACAGCTGCTAAGACCATGACAACAGGTGATGAGGCCGACATCGAGATGGCGTCGACCGATCGAGTCTCGGGATCTTCATCATTGACAGCAGCCGACGAAACGATAAGAGAAATCGAACAACTAGCACGCCAAGTCACAAACGCATCACACATCCACGATGCCAACACGCACTACGATGTCTTGAACCCACCCAAGAACAGCTACCTCGACCCGAATTCCTCAAACTTTGACAGCGTAGCATGGACGCAGGCGTTTATTCACCTCTTCGAATCAGATCCCAACTCAGCACCCAACAGGAGCGCGGGCGTCGCATTTCGCGACCTTAATGTCTTTGGGTATAGCTCTGGGACGCGGTACCAGAAGAGCACGGGAAATATTGCGTTGAGTATGGTATCTGATCTTGTTGGTCTTGCCACGGGGAGGTCGAGGAGACGGATCGATATTCTGCGGGACTTTGAAGGCCTTGTTGAGCCTGGGGAGATGCTGCTCGTGCTTGGTCCGCCTGGATCGGGGTGTTCTACTCTTCTCAAGACGTTGGCTGGTCAGACTGAAGGTTTGAACGTCGCCCAAGACTCGTACATGAACTTCCGGGGTAAGCCAGATTCTTCGTACAGAGTTCAGCAATATCATGTCTAAACAAACACCAGGAATCGAACCAAAGCGCATGCACGACTGGTTCCGCGGCGACGTCCTCTACAACGCCGAGGTAGACGTCCACCTCGCGCCCCTATCCGTAGGCGACACCCTCGAATTCGCCGCCCGCGCGCGAGTACCCTCCCGCGTACCCGGAAATCTCACGGGCCAACAGTTCGCGCGCATCATGCGCGACGTGATGATGGCGGCCTTTGGCATCACGCACACTGTCAACACCAAAGTGGGCGACGATTACGTGCGCGGGGTCTCGGGCGGCGAGCGCAAGCGTGTGAGCATCGTCGAGGCGGCGCTGACCGGTGCCAAGTTCCAGTGCTGGGATAATAGCACGCGCGGACTGGATAGCGGGAACGCGATTGCGTTTTGTCGGAATTTGAGGACGCAGAGTGATTTGTTAGGGGTTGCGTCTGTTGTGGCGATTTATCAAGCGCCGCAGTCTGCGTATGATGTAAGTGTGATTCTTGGATGGCTATGAGAGAGGCATTGATGGGACCATGTTGTTGACGTTCTCGGTAGCTGTTTGATAAGGTGACGGTGGTGTATGAGGGGAGGCAGATCTTCTTCGGCAAGATTGGTGAAGCGAAGCGGTACTTTGAGGAGCTTGGCTTCCAGTGTAAGTGTCTACTCAATGCTCTTCGCATCTGATCTTCGTTCTGATGTGGAAATAATACAGGCCCCGAACGGCAAACCGTCCCAGACTTTCTCACGTCGATGACGTCTCCGAACGAAAGAAAGACCCGACCAGGCCACGAACACCGCGCCCCTCGAACTTCTGAAGAGTTCGCCGCGAGATGGAAAGCATCCAACCAGCACGCAGGCCTCATGGCAGACATCGCAGCTTACGATAGCAATCACTCTTCAAAGGACCGCCTCGAAGCGTTCCAGGACAGCATCAAAGCTGAGAGAAGTTCATGGCAACGACTCAAGTCGCCTTACATGATCACATATCCGAGTCAAGTCAAGCTATGTCTTTGGCGCGGGTGGAAGCGTCTGGTTGCCGATCCTGAGTTCACGCTGTCTTCTCTAGTGTTCAACATCATTGTTGGCTTTGTGCTCGGAAGCATGTTCTTCAACTTGAGGCAGGATTCGGGGACGTTTTACTATCGCGGTGGGCTCATCTTCTTTGCTCTGTTATTCAATGCTTTTGCTAGTGAAATGGAGGTTAGTACACATCATCCAGTGGTGATAGGAGATTTTGGTCTGGAAATCCGTGACTCGCTCCGATCTTCAAACTCACAATGACCTAGGTCCTCACATTATACACTCAAAGACCCGTTATCGAGAAGCACAATCGATACGCCCTCTACCATCAGTCTGCGGAAGCTATCTCAAGCTACATCACCGAGTTACCATACAAGATCACCAACGTTTTCACGTTCAACTCGATTCTCTACTTCATGGCAAACTTAAACCGCGAGCCCGGGCCCTTCTTTTTCTTCTGCCTCGTCTCCTTTCTGGTGCTCCTCGCCATGTCGGGCATCTATCGCACCATGGCATCCCTCGCACGCACTTCACATCAAGCCATGGTCCCCGTCACTCTCGTCACTATCGGCGTAATGATGTATGCCGGCTTCACAGTACCAACAACGTACATGCAGGGGTGGTCGCGCTGGATGGGCTATGTCAACCCGCTCTCTTATGCGTTCGAGGCGCTCATGGCTAATGAGTTCCATGGTCGCCAGTTCCTATGCGCTGGGCTCGTGCCGTCTGGCCCGGGCTATGATGATCTCTCTATATCTGGTCGCACCTGCGCTGTTGTGGGCGCCATACCGGGCTCAGATATGATAAATGGCGATAGGTATATCGAGCAATCTTTTGGGTACTTCAACGATAATAAGTGGAGGTGAGTTTGTGGTGATAACCGAGTGTTTTGGGATTTCATCTGACCTATTCAAGGAACGTCGGCATTCTGTGTGCATACGTCGTGGTATTCTTCATCACGTACATCATCACTGCCGAGTACGCCAAGCCACCCAAGAGCGAAGGCGAAGTTCTTGTCTTCCGACGTGGCAAAGTACCTCCCGCGATGGACCGGAAAGACCTAGCAGACGAAGAAACTCAATCCCGCAATGTGACTCTGACCGAGAAAGTTCATGCCATGCCGACAGATGAGATGTTGGAGAAAAGACCAAGACCGAGTGAGTGCGGTAAGCCAATCTTCCACTGGGAAGATATCTGCTACGACGTCAAGATCAAAGACCAGAACCGGCGCATCTTGGATTTCGTGGACGGCTGGGTGCAGCCAGGTGTTATCACAGCTCTCATGGTATGTGTTCTTGCTTACAAACCCCCTTGTTCATCTCTAACTTTCAAATAGGGCGCCTCTGGTGCTGGTAAAACAACACTACTCGACGCTCTCGCGGCTCGAATCACCATGGGCGTGATATCCGGCGACACCATGGTCAACGGCCAAACAACAGACAGATCATTCCCAAACCGCGTTGGGTACGTCCAGCAGCAAGACGTCCACTTGGACACCATGACCGTTCGAGAGGCCCTCGAGTTCAGTGCATTGCTGCGTCAAAATGCCGAAACCCCTCGCGAGGCAAAGTTGGCGTATATTGACGAGGTAATTGAGCTGCTCGACATGCGCGACTTTATAGATGCAGTGATCGGAGTCCCTGGGCAGGGACTCAACGTTGAACAGCGCAAACGTTTGACGATCGGAGTCGAGCTCGCTGCTAGGCCGCAGTTGTTAGTCTTTCTGGATGAACCTACTTCGGGGCTTGATTCTCAGACGTCTTGGGCGATCTGCGACCTGATCGAAAAACTTGCAAAGAGCGGCCAGGCGATTCTGTGTACTATCCACCAGCCGTCTGCCATGCTTTTTGCCCGTTTCGATAGGTTGCTTTTGCTACAACGCGGGGGAAAGACTGTCTATTTTGGAGGTAAGTTGCTGTTGTCGTTGTTTTTGCTCCCTTCCCCAACAAGCTTTTCGCTTACATGTGCGCAGATATTGGCAAGAACGCCAAGACGATGATTGATTACCTCGAACGCAACGGCGCATCGCCATGCCCTCCTGATGCCAACCCCGCAGAGTGGATGCTGAAGGTTACCACGCTTTCCGAGGACGGACCGAATTGGTATGAGATTTGGCGCTCATCTCCAGAATACCGCGAGGTGAAGAATGAGCTTGGTATTCTGCGTCAGCGGGCCCTAGACAAGCCCATAGAACGAATCGGAGATGATGATGTCGCCGACCAGGAGTTTGCCTCGTCGTTCTGGACTCAGTTCAAACATGTCTTTCTCCGTACAGCAAGGCACTTTTGGAGGTCTCCGGTGTACATCTGGTCAAAGCTTACTTTAACTATTCTTCTGGTAAGATGCCCCTCTTGGTGATTCCTCATGCCGCCTAGGTACCTCACCTTCCGTACTAACTCAAATTACGTAGGCGCTCTACATTGGATTCACGTTCAAGTCGGACAATAGCTTGCAAGGCCTGCAGAACCAACTTTACGCCTTCTTCATGTGCCTCACGACTGTCAACGAGTTCAGCAAGCAGATCATGCCCATGTTCATTCCACAGAGAGCTCTTTACGAAGTACGAGAGAGGCCGTCTCGCGTCTATCGATGGACCAGTAAGCATCCTCATCGTGGGCATTCTGCATTAACGAAGCTAACCAATCTGCAGCATACTTCCTCTCTAACATCGCAATCGAGATGATCTGGAACACCATCGCCGCAGTCATATTCTTCTTCTGCTGGTACTATCCAGCCAAATTCTACCGCAACACCACCCCCGAAGACGTCACGATCCGCGGCTTCACCGTCTTCCTCTTCATCTGGATGTTCTTCCTCTGGGTCAGCACATTCTCCCAGCTCGCCATCGCTGCAATCGAGACAGCAGACCTAGCCAGTATCCCAGCCAGCTTGTTTGCCATCCTCTGCATGTCTTTTTGCGGCGTGGGCGTCATTCGCGCCGACCTACCCGCCATATGGAGCGACTTCATGTACTGGGTCAGTCCCATGACGTATCTCGTAAGTGGTGCGCTGTCGACGTGTCTGCATGGCTCCAAGGTCGTTTGCACGGCAAAGGAGATCGTGTCTGTTCCGACTCCGATGAACATGACGTGCGGCGAATTTCTGGGCCCCTTTGTTCAGCGCGCTGGTGGATATTTGGTGGATGCTGCGGCGACGCAGACGTGTGGGTACTGTCGTATGAATACCACGGATGATTATCTTGCGACTTTCGAGATAAATTACGACGATAGATGGAGGAACTTTGGGCTTTTGTGGGTGTATGTTGTGTTCAATGTTCTTGCAGCGTGTGGTCTCTACTGGCTCGTTAGGGTGCCCAAGGGGCAAGGGGTTGAACGGAAGTGAACTAAGAGGTTGCGCTGAGATCAAGGCGGTGTTCACTTAATGTGTAAAACAAGCATGGAATGGCGTCATTTTCATCTAAGGTACGAAAGATAATTGTGTAATATCTAGACATGGGAGTTGTTGGAGTTGAGAAATTTCAGGTACTCATTTCGACATGAACAAGAGAAAAGCCGGATGAGTCTGCAAGCTCCCTCTAATTACCAATCCACGTCTTTCACGACAAGGCCATCCAGTCACCTGAAGAACAAGCCTCTGAGAATGAATATCCTAGTGACTTTCGATCGAGCATATTCACATCGGTGGGAGAAATATGGGAATGATTTCCACAGCTGCAGACGTGGGACTTGTGAGAGTTGAGGGCACAGTACACAAGAAGTAGTAAGCGGCGTGCTCACAGTGTTGACGCGCAGGGATCCGTGACAACCGGGTAAGCCCTTTCCCGGCCGCCACGTTGTGGACCCCCGCCTCGTGAAGAAATCTCCGGGGCCCCGACTCCGGGGTAAACCACTTCTTCGGTCCCCTTCAATCCTGGTCGCATTCTATGTCGGAATTGCGAGTAGCTAAGAGACCAGCTATTGCCCCACACATCTTTACTTGGTGAATGTCTATTCGAGCTGTTGGAATAAGTAGGCGAAGCCAGAGGGATGTGGATACATCCAGAATCCCATCCCAACCGTGGTCCATGCCAGCGCCGTCTTCCCCAGTTTCTCCAAATTTGAGGTGCTATCAACCTCATCTGAGTTGAGGACCACACTCAACAGCCAAAAAGCTTTGTTTCCAAGGAGAAGCTGGCTTCTAATACGATGCCGACTCTACCGCTGGTCGGCCCAGCCGTCAACTCAACTAAGCCCTTTGGCCGACAGTCACCGCCACACGCATCATGGCACGGCTTCACTCCCGGCCGACGTAGCTACGCCCCCGACGCCTCCATCGTGCTCGTCGGAATCCGAGGCACAGGCCGCTCAACTCTCGCCGTGATCGCGGCCAGCGCTTTAGGGTTCCGCTTACTCGACGCGGACCAGCAATTCTTCCAGATGACGGGCCTCTCACGAGCCAGTTACAAGACACAGCACGGTACTGCTGAATATCGAAGGGAAGAGCTGAAGCTTCTGCATGCCATGCTATTCGAGAATCCGACAAAGTCTATTATTGCGTGTGGGCCAGGAGCTGTGGAAGAGACGGGGCAGGCGTGGCTTGCGGAATATGGACAGACGCATCCTATCATCTATGTCCTGAGAGATGCGGAAGACGTGAAGGAGCATCTCAAGGTATGGGATACTGAGGCTATCACACGACTCTTTCAACTTAGTGGTCCAACGCATCGATCGATATCCAACTTTGAATTTTACAACATTTCAGATACCCTAGGGAAGGCCTCGGGCGAGCTCGCCACTATCCCCGGCCACCAGTCACCGAGGTCTCTTGCGTTAAAGCGGGTGGAGTACGACTTTCTCGGACTCATTGACAGCATCATGGAAAGCGACAGGCAGGGCTCGGAACGGTACCGTGCCACCGAGGGCTCTGCTTCATTACCACTGGAGCGCCGGCCATACACATATTCTCTCAACTTGCCAATGTCATTGGTAGAGACCGCCGGGGCGGAGCTTCGAAATATCACGACAACAGCCGATGTTGCGGAACTAGTCATCCCTGTGAGGGAACTACAGGCAACGTCGGCCGATTTCGATGATGCAACTGCGAATCGCGTCTGTCGCTTGCTCTATGCCGTCAGGAGATTCACTCGTCTCCCTATCATCCTCAATCTCGAACTCGAATCCTCATCTACTGGCATAATGAGCGGCTTCTCGCAAGAACACGCCTCCGCATACTACCTTAGCGTTCTAAACCACGGCCTCCGTCTCGCTCCAGAGTACCTCTGCGTAGATCTCCGCTGCGACGAGAACATCATCCGAGATCTAGTCGCAAGTAAAGGAACAACAAAGATCATCGCCCACTACACCTGCAACTCCCTCTCTCCAAGCGGCTGGCGGAACCCAGGTCTGGAGGACAAGATGAGGTTGGCCGAGGACCTGGGCTGCGACGTCGTCCGAATATGTCGCGAGGCAAAGTCAACCAAGGACAATTTCGAGATTCAGCACTTCAAGCATGGCGCCGGCAAGCCCAGAGATGTGACGATCCCGCTTATTGCGTACAACACAGGCCGCCTCGGCCGCATGTCCTGCTTCATGAACCCGACCTTCACGCCGGTCACCATGAACTTGCTTCGGAGACTGGCACCAGGCGGCTCGCCTCATTGCCTCTTGACGATCCACGAGGCGCAAAAGGCACTCTACTCTTCCTTTCTCCTAGACCCGATGTACTTTGGCATCTACGGCACCAACGCATCCACAAGTTTGTCGCCAAGCATGCACAACCCCGCCTTCAAATTCTGCGGTATGCCGCACGAGTACAAGATCTTTCACCAGCCTACCCTAAATCACCTACGTAAGCTCATCTCCGACGAGAACTTTGGAGGCGCGAGTATCACAGCTCCCTTCAAGAAGGAGGTCTTTGCCATTGTCGACTTCACGAGCCCAGAAGCCAGGGCCATTGGCGCCGTCAACACGCTGGTGCCTCTGCGGTCGCGGAACATTGAGTCTTTGCTTGATCGCAACAGAGCTGGCCCAGTCGTTGCTCTGTATGGCGATAACACGGACTGGATCGGGATACACACCCGCATTCGGCACAACCTGTCTCCCATCAACGGCGTCAAGAGGAGGACAACGGCGCTAGTTGTGGGTGCGGGAGGTATGGCTCGTGCAGCGATATACGGGCTTCTGAGGCTCGGTGTCCGCACCGTGCTTATACACAATCGAACGACGAGGACGGCTGAAGAGGTTGTAAGGCACTTCAACGGGTACCGATTCACGAGCGACGGGGCATCGACGCCGACGGAGGTCAACGCCTCGCCGAAAGTTGACGCTCCTCCAAACAGTCCCACGATCCGTGTTATAGAATCCAAAGATGATAAGTGGCCAGACGACGCTGACTTTCCAACCATTGTGGTATCGTGTATCTCCACGCGTGAGATCGACGGGGAGTCGTCGGCTGATACGAGTCTGCCTCCGGGATGGCTGGCTAGTCCTACAGGCGGAGTAGCCATTGAGGTAAGTTCGATATCTGCAAACGGATCAAATGAGGTGACACTGCTAACATACATTCGCAGCTATCGTATACGCCTCTGGAAACACCTCTCCTGAAGCAGATCCGTGGCATGAGCGACCAGGGGTGGATCGCCGTCGACGGCCTAAGTGTTTTGCCGGAACAGGGTAAGAGACAATTTGAGCTTTTTACAGCACGCAAACCTCCGATCGAGATGATGCGTGAGTTGATTTCGCGAGCGTATAAGGAAAGGCTTGCAGACGGGGGCAAGATGCCAACAAGAGGGTAGCAATCTTGGCATGGTTAGCATTCATGTGAGCGTAGCGTTTCAATGATGATATTTTCTTCACCACACTTGATTATGAGCAGTCGATGGAATTATTCACTGGTAGAATGGTATGTGCAGTCAATGAGTGTGTGGGAGATATCCTTCATGAGGAAACGTTGCCCACAAAAAGCGCATGTGGTGGCTAGCCTGATGGTAGCGGGAAAGACCTTTACCGTCCTGACAAGACACACGCCAAGCTTCTGACCGATGATGCCGATGAACGATCAATATCACGGCGCCATAATCGCAGTGTCATTTTAACATCGCAGTGTAGGTTTACTGAGTATAGCATGGATATTTCTGTGCCAGCTGCAGGCATATCGAACCTAAACCGCCCACAAAGCCTTTCGCACTCAAACCTTTCCACACCCCTAGCTCAGATCACGAGCTAGCAAAGCCAAGCTGTCAAAGACGCCAAAGCCTGAGAGATAATGGGGTCCATGGAAGCAAACCCCTCTATCCTGAAGAGGAACTTCTTCATCTTCGGTCATAACATCTCCCACACCCTCTCTCCAACCCTTCATAACACAGGATTCCGAGAACTTGCCCTCCCACATCATTACGCTATCCACCAGACAGAGAGCGTCGACGCCTCGGTAGAATCCATCATCAACGCCAATGACTTCGGGGGCGCATCAGTCACCTTTCCGCACAAACTACAGATTGGCAAGCTCTTGGATGCAGTCACTCCCTGCGCCCAGAAGATTGGGGCCGTGAATACCGTCATCGTCGAGGAGGACCCGGAGAAGCGGTATAGGCGACTTGTGGGCGATAATACGGACTGGCATGGGATAAGGAGGTGTATCGAGCGCAGCGGGATATCGAATCTCCGTTCCTCGACTGCGCTGGTTCTGGGTGCTGGTGGGGCAGCTCGCGCGGCTTGCTATGCGATCCAGGAGTTGGGGATTACGCAGCTTCTCGTTGTGAACAGGACGATATCGAAGGCTGCCGAGATGGTGGAACAGTTCCCAGCCCTTGATTGCCAGGTCTTTGAGACCTTGGAAGATGCCGTATCTACCAAAAGGGAGCGAGATGGCTTGGATAGACTCCCTTTGAGAGTCATTGTCGCCTGCGTTCCTGCGGATGACTTTGGCGAGGAGAAGATACCTGCAGGGCTGTTTGGCGCTGAGAAGGGAGTTTTGGTTGAGATGGCGTATAGACCGCAGGTTACTGGTATGATGAAGACGGCATCACGGTATCCGGGCTGGACGATGTTTAAGGGTGTTGATGTACTGGAGGAACAGGCTTATGCCCAATTCAAGTTGTGGACTGGGAAAGAAGCACCAGTCGAGGCGATGAAGGCTGCCATGCAGGCTAAGATCAATGAGAGATGATAGAATGCTATGCCGTAGACAGAGCTTAAGACTTAAGTAAATTCGGGTGGAAATTCGGATATTCCACCCTCAATTCAGCCTTTACTTTATTGTTGAGGTGGAAGGAGATCAAGTTCCATGAAGGTGCAGACAACCATTCGACAGCAGCGTGTGTGTAGCACTATGTTTTGCGCAGAACACTTCACCACCTACCTTAGTCTGCGACATAGAATCTGAATATCATGAAAAGGATTTTGGGAAGGCATTTCTTTGATCACCATTATATCATATTTGCCAGTCCTCTACACGTCTATGGTATTTCCTTCAAGCCACTCCTTGGCCTGCCAGTAAAGTAAGTCGTGCTTGTCCAGGTTCACCGTCCCAACATGACGCCGATGCCCAGGCATATTCAAAAGAACTTTGACTCCCATTGTGAGCTCCTGGAAATACGCGAGATACTTGTACCCAGGAGGAAACGCAGCCAACTTTCCCTCATCAATCTCGGGGAACTTGGCCGGGTTGCAGGGAATCACCTTATCCTTCTCATACCAATGCCGTACCAGACGCGCGCCCCATCGATCTCCCACTTTTTCAAAGTAGAAACAGAAGCGGCAGTCAGCTTCTACGTCAAACTCGACGCTGTCAATCTCGAAGCGCTGTGTAATCGTCGCCTTGAGCTTGGTCACGGCCCTGGTGCCCTCGGCGTTGATATCTGTGCTGCAGCCGTGGCAGCGGTGCATGATAAAGGCGCCTTTGTCCATCCCTGCTTTGGAAGCCGCGATGAAGTCTGTGAAAGGAACGCGGCCTGACCAGGTTGTGTAGACGTAGGCCCCTGGGTGGAAGATGGACTCGAAGTTTTCCCATTCGCAGGCGTCCCTGGAGATCGATGCTGGTCAGTTGCAACCTGCCAAAGTGATGCTCATTTGACCACAAATTGGGCGATGTTTTACCTGTAAGACGGCCATCCTTCTGCCAATTCTCTCAACTTCAATCTTTCTAGAACCAAGTGATCTGGCCCATTGTTGCGGATGGCGTTGATGGGACGAGACCCTGCAGGAAGAGTGTGTAAATCAGGCATGTTTTCAAGGAGTGATTTGCCTAGTGATCACCGTTTGCTTGCAAACCTGGGGTTCAATAATGAGCATCTACCGCGATGCAGACCTCATATGCCGGAGAAGACATCATGTAAGTGACTAAGCCAATCACGAGGCCATCGTGTTAGTGATCACTTCGCTATTCGGCACATTATCCGGCTCTTCCATCTCGGTGCGTTGGTGAGAGGCCGAACGGATGAAGACTTTGCCGCGTTGGGATCGCGGGGGCGCGGGGTCCCGCATCTTGTTTCCCCGCACCGATTCACGGAGCGATTTGGGCTTGACTCGGTCCACGCGGAGATGATTTGAGGGGAACCTGGGGAAAGTGTTTAACCAGTTTTTATTTTCCAGCTCCCTACTTGAAATCTTTAGATCCTGCATCTAATTCCCTTTGCAAGTTCGATATCTCACCTGTACATCATCAATTACCCTCGCGATTCGTCCTACGAAGCTTGTTCCACCTGTCCTACAAGACGAACAAACCTCTTGAAATACCACGAACAGTCCAGAACAGCAATCGCAATGGCAAAGTCAATCCTCCTCATCAACGGCCCCAACCTGAACCTCCTCGGTACCCGGGAACCGCACATCTACGGCTCGACCACACTCTCCCAGCTCGAGACGCAGTCAAAAGAACACGCCAAGTCTCTCGGCGCAGACCTGCAATCATTCCAATCTAACACCGAGGGCGCCATCGTCGAGCGTATACACGCGGCGCGGGGCAACGTCGACGTCATCATCATTAACCCCGCCGCCTACACACACACGAGCGTCGCCATCCGTGACGCGCTGCTGGGCGTCGATATCCCCTTCATCGAGCTGCACATTAGCAACACGCACGCGAGAGAGAGCTTCAGACATCACAGCTATTTGAGCGACAAGGCGGTTGCGGTTATTATGGGGTTGGGAATTCATGGATATGGGTACGCCATTGATCATGCCGTTAAGAATATCAAGCCCAAGGCATAAATAAATTCGATCAAATAAATTTGTTAAACCACTTCCCAAACATTGGACATAGATTTGGCCAGAATGAAAGGTTACCCCTCTGTCAGTGGCGACATCTCTCTACCACGAAGAGCCATTGACTCAAATTCTTCATCGACCTCGTATCCCAAATGTGCCAGAGCTCGGCTCTTTCTAGCTTGCTGTAAGTCCCTGCAGGGCCCATCCGTGGTCCAAAGCGATTTGAAAATCGACGGCTGATCTGTGAGCTGGCGCGTTGCTGCCTCGCAGATACAAGCGACGAACTGCTTGGTGGCTGCTTTCATCTCCGGAGAGTTCGACTGTCTCACGAGAAGCTGAAACCCGTCTACTACACAGAACAACAGCGGGGGAAGATATTCCAACAAGGACTCAAGTAGGTTGATCGCTGGAGCTAAGCTGCGGGTCACCTCGGAACGGGTCTGCGGGATCGGAGGAATCGATTTGACTTTTTCGACAACACCTGCCTCGAAATGCGCATGCTCAGGAAGAGCCCGGGATATCTGGTAGACCAGGGAGTACACCATCTCCAAGAGCGCCCGTTCGCGGTCCAAAGATGCGCTTTTAGGTCGATGGATGAAGTGACAGAGGCTGGGAATATTCAGCTGACTGAGATCGTGAACCATTTGGGCTGCTAGCAAAGTCGCGTGCGAAGGCGGTTCGTCGTCGTCTCAACGTTAATGAGAATTAGCCAGATGATCTTTCATGCTGTAAGAAAGGGAAATTACTCACCAGGCACTTCAATCCAGAGAGCTACCGATTGCCTCGAAGAGACTAGCTTCACGAGATAAGCCCGCTTCTCTGCACTCACGAACACTTGCTTCAATGGGGACGTCAGAGATGCAATATGAGCAACCTGATGGAATGTCTCCAAGTGCTTCAGGGACTCCTGAACTTTTTCCAATGTCCAGAGATCCCTCTCGTCGCTGAGTTCATCTTCAAGCAGCTCCGGCTCAGCTATTTCCTTACCACTACTGGAATGACATCGCTTGTTAGAACCTTCAGACGTGCTATCTTCTTTGCTCCCAGATTTTGCGGTAGTATTCTGACTTTGTGGTAAAGTCTTAAATGACGCCACTTCAGTTAGCGAAGAAACCCTCGGAGCGTCGCACAGTCTGGATCGATCGACAGCGGCGCCAACCAAACTGGCCTGGAAAAGACTTCCGAGTCGGTCAAGCTTTGCATTCATGTCATTAATAGTACTCTGCTGAATGAGAATAATGCTGTGCATGATATCGTCTTTGCAGGCGGTCATCTTTCTGACTGCTGTATCGCAGGCGCTTAAAAGACCGTCTCCAAAACTGTTAAAGAAGCGTTTTGAGGAGGATGAAAGCCACTCGGTCAAGATAAATACGAGAAATTGGAACAAGTGGCAATAGAACTTGCTGACTTGCCACCTGATATACTGGCGACGGGGATTTGCCCCGAGGGCGTTTCTGAGAAGCGACACTTGGCTTGAAAGGCGTTCTAGGCATTCGGATACGTTTTCTGCAGTGTCACTGTACGTCACCGCAACCTATGGTTCATTAGCAATCTTCGATTGCTCCAACGTGGACAAATACGGGTGAGTGGGTGCTTGAAAGAGACAATCATACCTGGATCAGCAGTGTGAAAGAGCCAACCAAGACTGAGGTGTATTTGTCTCCTTCAGGTAGAAGTTTGAGCAAGTATTTGTGGCTATTGATAGTTTCCGCCACTCCGACAAACCAAGACTTGATCTTGCCAGATCTTGTGCTCGATTTGGCATTGAGCTTGTCTCGCGCTTGATTGAAAAGTCTGCCAAACGTTCGAATATCGGGTTTAGAGGGAATGCTATCCCTCTCGCCTTTCGGTAGAGATTTGACGACCTTGGGCCACTGTGTCTCTAGATCCCGGGATATGCCTGCTAAGAGAACGGTGTCATGTAGCTCGACGTCTCTGTCCGTGGAATTATCAGCACAAAGTAAATGCAAGTAGCAAGGAGCTCTTGGTGAACCTTACCCTAAGCTCGTACCTTGGTAAATTTCTAACGATTCTAGGGCCGAAACCTCAGAAATGGTTCTACCAATGGCTTCATCTCGTCTCTCTAAGTCTACTTTCGTAGCTAGCGCTTGTCTAGAATGTCAAAATTGATATGTCAGGAATGAGGGCACTGGATGTTTTGATTGCATGTACTTGCGGTAAGTTGCCACCAGTGCTCTCTCGCTGCATCTGGTCAGTGTAACGACGCACCATTCGCAAAGCGGGCTCAGCCGCTTTGGCGCTCTGAGATATCATGGCAGCGGGATTTACTTCCGCTCGAGATCCAAGTAAATCAATTGAGCCTGCGGCATTCTTAGAAATGTTGGAGGGTCATAAAGAAGAAAGAGTGTGTGTTACCTACCAACAAAGAAGGAAAGGCCAGCCATGAATACGTGCAAGCAACTTATCTAGGCAGCTGCTGCTGATGTTTGCCATCGAATTGCTAAAAATAGGTCAGGCTGAGGCCTCACTCAGTTCAATGCCACCGAGTAAGATGCTCTCAGAATGTTCTGGCGTATGGCTTCCAAAATCGGGGTGGTAGCCCGAAATGCCGCAGAGTACCATGTAAGCGTGGCTCGTAAAGATTGACGAGCATCAGCGTAAAACCCCACCAATGGTTTCTATGTCAACGGTAGCTGAGACAGAGGGACCCATAGGCCTCGAAGCCGGACGTTCGTTTTGAAGGTATCAATCTGTACCAAGTGTGCAAGGAAAAGACCAGCCTCGACTCCCTCGACGGCGTCATACAACCCCTCTGCTACATCAAAACTGGCAAGGGTCAGGCGCCTGTTATTCGCAGAGATGGAGAACCCCGTCTCACCGTGCCAATACTCGCTCTGCAGTAAGCCTACCTAGCGTAGCGAGCCTGCTTGATATTTGCCGCTCATACCGATATATTGGCAACCATGAGTGCTATGAGCCAATAAGCAACAGAGATTGTCGGCTTCATCGAGGCAGGCTGGCACTTGGGTCTTTTGGCAATATCCTAAAAGAGTATATCTGCTGTTACCCCCGCGCCTGACAGTGTGGAAGTCCTGGACTAAGCCAATGAGATTATCTGCCACATTCTGTCAAATCTCATCGGCGTCTACAATTGCTTTCGCTTTGGGTTAGTGGGCTGCTGGCAGGGCAAAGAGGTGCGCTCGGCGTCTCGAAACCCATCCTCCGTGGGTATGGATTAGGGACGGAGACAGGCGATGTCGCAGGGGCACAGCATGCATCCGTTCCGGGGATCATAAGGTTATAAAGCACGTTGTCTGAGTAAAGTAACCGATTCGGCGCTCGATTTGTTTGAAGAGTAGCAACTAATTAGGTGTACGCACCTCTGAGGGCGTCATCCCCTACAAGATCCTGAACTTGCAATAATGTCGGCAATAGCGACAATCACAGACATCGACACAGCCATGCCTGCTCACGAACTCCCAGTGAATGGCTCAGCGTCAGAAAAGCCAAATATCTCTGAGACTGAGGCGACAGGCATCAATGACATCCCTCCCCAAGACACGATTGAGGAGACCGAGCCTCCTCGGAAGCCATCGAAAATACGTTACACGGCGTCCTGTTACAATCACAACGGTCAGAACTTTGACTACTCCCAGGATGAGCCATTTCCATCCCAAGTTCCTCCACACGATGAGAAAGCTAAGCCTGTAATTGAGGTCGTCACCAACATGAATGTTGGGCTCAAGGGTGACATAAAGCAACCCATCGAAAGGAATCACGAAAACGGTATAATCAAGAAAGAAACAATGAGCGACAAGGCCATAAGGGGGATTGGAAGTTCACGCATCATCGTTCATTCCCCGTACTTGTCCGAGCTGATCCGCGACGCCGTCGACTATTATCCTGGGCAAAATCTGACTGGAGAGACCATCACAATCCACGAACCTTACGGAGTTCTGCTGCATAACTGGGAGAAATTGGGCCAGATCTATGCTTCTCGGGAGGATTCCCCGGAATTGGTCACGGATGGTCAACAGACTAAACTTGAACACTTGGGCGTGTTGCTTGAATATTTGAATCCAATCGTCAAGAGCAAGCTCGAACCCATGCAGAGACGGCTGGGACAGGACTCGCCAACAACTACTTGGGATGACCTCTGGTATCTACTACGACCTGGTACGCAAAGCTATTGCAAGTGGGACCACCAGTGGATAGGTTGTATCGTCGAAGACGCCAAAAAATGCGCCCCGGACGCAGAAGACAATCTCCCAGAACGATGGAAGGTAAAGATTTGGTTCCTCGCGATGCATTGGTCTTACGGAACACTGGTCACTGTGACCAATACCATCGACATCTCTAAGTTTGAAGGCGAGAAAAAGGTCGAACATCTGGATGTTTTTCCAGAGAAGTACTCCAAGGGCGAGCGGAAGAAGGAATTCGAGAGTCGTGGTGATCAGATCTGTGACATGCTCTGGAGGGGGTATCAATATGCCCATTACGATGGCGAGTTGATGAGCAAGAAGAGGAAAAAGGTATGCAAATACTCATTCTAAACGGACTGAAGTTTAACACCAAATCAGTACAAGGGGAAGATCATTCTCAATGCCTATGGTGATCAAAATTACCCAACTTTTGATGAAGACGAGTGGAGTTTCGATTTGGTCTCGGAACCTGCACCTGACCAGGCAAGGCCAACTAACGGTCCTTCGGGTGTACTGCAGCCCCTATGGCTTGATCCCACGAAAGACTCGAGAGATCCAGTGACAGCGGCTCACAAATTTATCACTTGCCCAGTTGTACCTGGCTTCACTCTTCCAGCGAAGACCTGGGGTACTGAACACTGCCTCGCTCAAGTCGCCTGGAACCAATTTGCTAACAGTGAATAGTCTCGGCACATGTGGGAAGCATCCAAGACCTGGTACAGGAGGAAGTACCTGAAGCGATCGTTAGTGGAGAGAAGCTGAAAATTATCAAGGCTCTAGCCGAACGCCAATTGACTGCGAAGCCCTGGTCAGCAGACTACATCAAGAACAAGGGTGAAGGAGTCGTCATCCTTCTTCACGGTAAGTACATGTACACTCACTACTCATAGTATGAGCTCAGTATCAATGCTAATAGCCTTTACAGGGCCTCCTGGCGTGGGAAAAACTTACACAGTCGGTATGTGTGAGTCCTCGTAGATGGCGATGTTGCACTTCTGACAAGATTAGAATCGATTGCTATGCGGAAGAGGCAGCCATTGATCAGCCTCACGATATCTGATTTACGCACCCAAAATGCGTCCGTAGAAGAGGAACTGACTAGGTGGTTCAAGATGGCCGACAAATGGCGCGCCATTCTGCTCATAGACGAGTGTGACGTCTTCCTCGAGCGGCGCGAGAAGAAGGACATTGAGCGCAACGCAATCGTATCGGGTACGTTTATGTATCGTCGGCGCAATGCGTGTGTGAGACTTCTACTGACTGCCCTCATACAATAGCCTTCTTACGAAAGATAGAGTACTTTGGAGGTCTTCTGTTTCTCACAACCAACAGAGTCGGCCACATTGATGACGCCTTCATGTCTCGTGTCCACGCTGTTATTGGTTTCGATCCGCTGGATGGTGCACGTCGTGAAAAGATTTGGGATAGTCTTCTTGCGAAGCTCAACCGCGAGCGAAAGGGGGCAATTCGCATCAGCAATGGTGCTAAGAAATTTTTGAAGACACCGGAGGTGCTTGAGTACACGGATTGGAACGGTCGTGAGATTCGCAACGCCTTTCAAACAGCCATCGCGCTTGCCGAGTACGAGGCTAAAGATGCCTCAGACTACGACCAGACGCAGGAGATCATTGTGGAGGCCGAACACTTCAAAGAAGTGATGGCAATGAATAAATCCTTCCGGTCCTATATGGACAGCATCAAGCTCTCCACTGAGGGGGAACGGGCGTATTCAGCTGCGTGGAGGAACGACTCCTGGAACGCTGAAAGCAAAGGAAATTAGACCAAACTTGCGATCCGCGATCACGACAGGTTCAAATACTTTCATTGGTTATATCTCATTACAGCTCGAATAACTTTGGACTCGCCATAATTACAAATTCTGGCTTTCTCTGCAATTTTACAGGTTCCAATTGCGGCCTGTGGCATATGGAAGCGCTGTCTGTCACTGCTCTTCCCGGATTGGCAGGCATGTAATTAGATCTTTTGCTCTATCCTTATGCTCATATCCTTAGTTTGAACCCCGCGACCACTTATAATTATGAAAATTGCAGCGACCAATGACATCAATTTGGTTGCTGAAGTGGGCAATCTAGGCGGCAAAGATCTTAGCCGCCCGAGATCGGACACTCACGTATGCTGCATTTCAGAATATTGCCTATAGTGGTCGAGAGAAACATTGTAGAACACTTCAAACATGGCCGAGTACCTCTCTGCCCAAGACACTGCAATGAGACTCGTATCATTCATAGCTTATTTTTGAGTGTATTCATTAGCAGATTATAAGAAGAACATCAGTCGTTTCGCATTTGTCTTAAGCACACAGTTAGAGAAGTTTGGTTGCAAGGCAGCATGGCAGCTATCGCTGTATTACATACCTCCATTGACGCATTTCCCTAGTAAGTACATGCAGCTAGTGGGGCTTTGACCACGCATTCTGTCCATGTGCCTCTAGTTACTCTGTATTTTGAATACTGTGAAACGCTGCGAGGAATCTACCTAATTGATCAAAGTGGTTTCTATGACTGTCTCCATTGAATCAATGATTCAATGTTCCTGCGGGCCTGTTACCAGTCACACCGAGTAGGCTGGCAAGATGGCCTCCTTTCCACCCAAGCGACAATCTAGGGGCAAAGACGATGATGGCCTATCACCAACGACCTCGCGACGAACGAAAAGGAACAAGGCCGACGCTACATAAGAATCCGACGAAGGGAAAACAGCACGAGGAAAAGTCAGATTACGCGTTACCCGAGCCTGCAACGAATGCCGAAGGCGTAAAGACCGATGCGATGGGATCCGCCCCTCATGCAATTCCTGCCTGAGCATCGGACGTAGCTGTAGCTACGGGCCCGCGAAGAAACGTGGGCTGCGCACTGGATACGTAAGAGCTCTTGAGCTACTTCTTGGCATGATAGTCAACACTATCGACGACGCTGATGACTGGCTGGCTGCGATACTCGATGGTGAAGAACGACGACCGAAATTCGGGTTACAGGATTTGAGTCTGCTGATTTCCTCCAAAACGGATGTCACTGATACACTGGCGGAGTCTTGGAGGACAAGCACCACTTCGAAGACAGTGGAGAGACTTCTCTCTATCGATGAACCTGCAGAAAGCCTCGAAGATGGCGAAGCCTTCAAGAAGTTCGAGTCAGGCATCAGGGAGGCCACCAAACTCGCAGCCAAGTTCTCGGCAGACCAGATCCCTAACATTGACAACGGACCAGACATGATAACTCCCGCATATACCAACGCCAGCCAACCCGACTACTCACCGACTGGAACAATCACTCTATCGAAACAGGATATCGATTCGACTCTCTCACTCTATTCGCATCAGCCGACTTTCCCACAAAATGCCTTGGTTATGCCACAGGTCCCAACACCACAACGCCACACCTCCCCGCCGCAGATCCCTTCAAATTGGGCACAGCTACTGGACGTGTACTTCGCCAACACACATTCATGGCTACCCGTGGTGCAGAAGCACGATCTTATGCGATTGGTCTACCTCAAAGCCAATAACGATAAGGATGCCAACACATCAAATGCAATACATAGCGGAGATCCCTGCTTTCTCTGGACAGTCATGGCCTATTCCCTGCGCCAGTCGGGATCTTTGGAGCTTTCAAAGGCCTTCCTCGAGTCAGCGACAGATATTCTAGCCAAAGACAATGGAAAGTATGAGATCGGTCACATACGAGCCATACTCATTGTGGCACTTATTAGACTGGAAGAGCAAGACATTGGAGCCGCGTGGCTCGCAATCGGCCAAGCCACATACTCAGCTGCCATGTCGTTTCTTACTGTCATTGGCGATGGGCCCTTGCAGAAAGACGAGGGCACACGGCGAACACTTATGTGCGTCTTTGTCCTTGACACGCTCATCGCAAGCTTGGCAAAGTCACGGCCATATCTCAACTCCTCGGACGCACAGCGCTTTGGCTTGCTTGTCACAGAGTCCATGGAAGAATGGGAGCCATGGTATTCAAAAGATTTGGATGACCAGGCGCAGCCGCCGAGCCACACTCCAGGACTGACATTGAGCACGTTCAATTCCTTCTTCCTTCTTGTTTCCATTCTAAATGATATTGTGAGACTCGAGATGAGAAGCGACAATATTGGCCGTTATTATCATATCATCAGGGACTTTGAAGAATGGAGGAAGCGTCGTCTGCCGCATGGAAATCAGCATGATGTCGCAAACACGCCACAGGATACGAATCTTCGTCTCGCTTGTGCCAGTATTTCCGAGACTCTTACGACACAAGGGCAACGCCTTGAGGGTACACCATATGGAGTGCCCAGCAAGGGATCCCCGGAAATGCTTGTTCAAGAGCAATCTCTTCTTCAACTTCTCGACACCACCAAGACATTTCGCATGCCTCCGACATCGATAGCCTTTCTCAATAGCCTCGAAGCCGCTTATGAATACCGAATGAATAGCACACAGGGGCTCGGAGGATCTCTTGGGGATTTGCAATCCTTAAAGACGGCCCTTGCTGATGCCCAAATGAGAATCTCCCGGAGACACAGCCCTCCTACAACTTCTCGCAGTGAAATCGCCGAAAGCGAGCCAGCGGTAATGGAAGCCATAGCAGAATCCACATCTGCTCATCAATCGGACCTGCGGCAGTTTCAGCCAGAAGCGCAAGTGAGCTTCAGTGAACTTATGGACACTGCGACGGAGAACATTGGCGGTGAACTCTTCATGAGCCTCGCTGATCTCGACTCAGCTGATTGGTAAATACGCGAACATTTTGCATATCGTATTTGACGCGGTATCTAACAAATGGAAATAGGTCGGCAAATCCACCAGAGTTCATGCGGCATCTCGGAGTTGTAGGCGACATGGCGACGGATATCCAGTCATTCTTTGACCAAGAGCCCGGGTGAAGTTGGGTCTTCACCGAACTGATCAAATTCTTCGGACTTGCGGAATATGCAGTAGACGCCAGTGGCATAGACCGGAACTACGCTTAGCCGCCTTCTTGAACTGCCATTTTTGACATCACCCGGGTCTTGCACAGCTTACTAACTTTGGGTGAAGTGCGGGGTCAATGGCATTGACGGACGATGGATCATTTAGCATCGAACCAACAGTCTCGAACACATATGGTCTTGCTACGGGGCTTGTTCGCCACGACGATACCCAATCTCTCGTCTCAAAGCATAGCCGTCACCGTCGCCACGTCCAACCATGACTGCTTTCCGACCCGCCATACTCTCTGCGTCTCTCGGCCGCGCCTGGATCCACGATTTTGACAAGAAGGCCACTGAGGCAGCAAAGTATGGTTTCGAAGGCATCGAGATATTCTACGAGGACCTTGAATACGTTGCCAAAAAGCTCCATGACATCGATCAGCCTACCCCGGAGCACCTCCTTTCCGCCGCAGAGCATATCCGTAAGGTACTCGAAGAGCTGAAGATCACAATCATCGGTCTACAGCCATTCCTTTTCTACGAAGGTCTTTTGGATAGAGATCAACATGCCCGACTCATCGAGAAGATTAAGCTGTGGTTCAAGTTGGCCAAGACCCTGGGGACCAACACGATCCAGATACCCGCCAACTTCCTCCCCGCCGACCAGCTAACTGGTGACATGGATGTCATCGTTGCCGATTTAGTCGAACTCGCAGATCTGGGTCTCAAGCAAGACCCGCCCATCCGGTTTGCGTACGAGAGTTTATGCTGGAGCACGCATGTCGACACATGGGAGAAGTCCTGGGAGGTTGCCACGCGCGTCGACCGCCCAAACTTCGGCCTCTGCCTCGACACCTTCAACATCGCCGGCCGCGTCTGGGGTGATCCGGCATCTCCGTCCGGGAAGACCCCAAATGCAGATGCAGACTTGAAGGCATCGATGGAGAGGTTGGCGCAGGGCGTCGATTTGGAAAAGGTGTTTTACATCCAGGTTGTTGACGCCGAGCGGATGGAACAACCTCTCGTAAAAGGCCATCCTTTCCACGTGGACGGCAATCCGTCGCGGATGATGTGGTCGAGAAATGCGAGAACGTACATGTATGAGACGGATCGCGGGGCTTACTTGCCGGTTGAGGAGGTTGCTCGGACACTCATTGAGGAACTCGGGTATAAGGGGTGGGTGTCGATGGAACTATTCTCACGAACAATGGCGGAAGAGCATAAGGAGGTGCCTGAGGAGCATGCGCGAAGAGGCATTGAAGCCTGGAAGAAGCTTGTAAAGCGATTCAACTTGAATTGAAGCTACGTTTGATTAGCAGTATATTCCACAAGCGTGTCACTATTGACTGGTATTCATATTTCAGTCAGAATCTCAGTTGTTCAAGACATAAACGTCAACTTTCTCAGAAGTTGATCCCCGGACTATTGTCAGCCGCCTCCAATAGAACCTTCCACGCTACGTCCTTGTCAAATTCCTTCACTCTCTCCTCTCCAGCCCAAAGCTTCCACTGCTCCTCGATCTGGTACCCAATAACATGCGTCCCCTCTACCGAGGGCCACCCAAGGCTCTCCGCTAGTTTCATCATCCTCGTCCGCCGCGGCTTGAAGCACATATCCAACAAGACTCCCTTCTCCGGCCGTGAAAGGAAGTCTTCTAGAGATGCTCTTACCGCCAACTCAGACGCCGATGTAGGTTCAAAATCGGGGACCGTTCCGACCACATAGTACGGTGTCTCCAGCGTCTTCGACTCCCCTTCTTTGACATGAACAATCTTGGGAGCGGGAGACAGACGTTTAGCATCGCGCTGAAGATCGGACACTTCTCCATCATCTCTGTTCAGAACATAGATCACAGAGGCCTTGAAGTATGTATGCAGAGCATACACCGCAGCACGACTCGCGCCGCCAGCACCCACAATCAACGCAGGCTTTCCCTCTACCGGACCCCGCCCTTCGCCCTTTTCGAGAAGACACCCCTTCACACCCAGCCAATCCGTGTTCGTCCCCCTCAGCCTCGCCGGGTTCGACAGGTCGCGGTAGACGTTGTTGCAGGCGCCAATGGTGGTGGCGAGGGGGTCTAGGGCATCGAGCCGGGGCATGACTGTATTTTTATAGGGCATCGTGACGACGAGGCCTGCCGTTGAGTCTTTACGTGCCAGGAGGACGAGGTCTTCGATCGTGTTACATTCGGTGGCGTGGAAGGTCCAGGGGAGAGAGAGGGATTTCGCGATGGCGTTGTGCATTGGGGGCGCGATTGAGTGGCCGACGCCGATGCCTACTAGGTGGATGGTTTTGTCGTCTGTCGATGCCATTTCGACTGACTGAAGGAAATGAAGTGTGATTTACTTATGATGAGATGTGATGCTCTGTAAAAAAGCCGAGAAGACGATGAATACAATTTACTTATAGAAACAAGGTGCCTACAATCGCTGCTAATTTTGTAGACGTCACACAAGGTAAGTCCTGTTCAAACATGAGCCCCGCGCTGAGAAGCTTCAACAGTGTCCATGTGTAAGCTGTCGCTGGCGGGTGAGACCTTAGCCGCTAAGTTGACAGCTAAGGTCCCAGCTGGAACTGCCCCAAAATCCCCCGTGATGGGCAATGCGGAGTAAGAAAGAGTGGCTGGAGGTATTTCATTCATTTCAGAAGGTCTACCGGTGCCGGGCCATTGAAACAGGCAAATGAAGTTTCACATCTCATTCACGCTCGCCTGAAGTATGATACTACGTCGATTCCCATTAAGGTAGGCAATGAAAAGCATGGCAGTCTCGGTCTCGAGAGTCCATGCTGATCACCAGTCTGTATTGTGGTTTCCGTCTTCAGCGCGGAACTAGGTGGGGGGAAGCACTAACATCAACTCAATCTTGGCCCTACAAGACAATCCCGAGACCAGAAAGGCTGCATGAGACAAGTTGAGTCATCTTATTGATGAATGCCAAAACATGTGACCATTTTTAAACGAGATGGTCTGTTCATATTCATACTTAAGGGTTAAAAAATTCGGACTTTTGCTCGCCAAAAAGCGCAGTTAAGCTGGATGGCGTTAGTAGCAAGGGCTGAGAGCTGAGCGCGGGTAAAGCCGGCGGGAACCGGTCGCGGGCTGTTTTCGTCTGACATGTCAGCTTCTGAATATCTGCCATACTTAATTGCATGTCCAGACTCGAGGTAACATCAATATTGTATACCCAAGACTTGGCCAGAAACAGCTTTTCAACTCTGACATTGTACATCATCGTTATAACGTCGCCTTCGAGTGCCTCAGATGGCCCTTGGTCTGCGACACATCGGCGGGCGTCACGCGCTCGCCCTAGCAGCAGCGATCCCATGCGCCTTAGTCGTAAAACACGGTTGGGAGGTCTACACAAGTATTCGAGCGGTTTACACGCGACGGGTAGCCTCTAGTAGTGGCCTTTCAGAAAACTTCAAACAATCGCATACTCTCAAGACTCTAGTAAATCCCAGAGGACATGCCTCATCAGCAGATAGGCTAGCTCTAGATTTAGACCTACCCAAGAACGCAAGAGACTTAAGCGACGAAGTATTATTGGCGACTTTCATCCATGGGTTTTTTGCGGGCAAGGTTTTGGCAATTGAGAGGCTTCTGCTGCAGACGGCACGGCCGACTTTGGTGTCCTACGCTGGTGAGTCGCCAATCTCGTGACCACTCGTCAGGAGTGACCAAGTTCCTGACAGGATTATAGAACTCAATCCGATTTCGGCGTCAAACCAGATATGGAAAACTGAAGAATTTTCATGCGAGGCACTCCCACCAGTGCATTCCGTAGTCTTTGGCACGTTTCAAGTCAGCCACGTCAAGCTCATCGGTTCCAAAGAGTCACAAGCGGAGCCGGAAACAGAAAGTAGCGTTGACTTTGTATTCGGGAAAGACATCAGTCAATTTGCAGGTGCTCATCGGTTCAGCATTGTCAGAAGTTCTGAAAATCCAGCAAGAGTCAAAGTCGTCTATGAATCAACAGCTTGCAATCCGACTCGAAATCACCACCTGTCCGGAATCCTATTGCAGTTCCACAGCTTGTACGCAATGCTGCTGTTCCGTGAGGGGGTATCGGAAATCTTGCGAATGCCTGAGCTGAGTGCGTAATCACTGCCAGGGGGTAAATTGGAGGATGGCATTCTGGATTCTAAGTACCTAAGTCTGGGAATTGAGTAGCAGGCTGGAATGATTTGTAACAACATGGCTTCTTCATGTAAGAGCCGGGCGGACTGTAGAAGATACCGATAACCATCTCACCACTGTAATTGATCATCAAAATGAACCTGCAAAGTTAGCGTAACTTCATGTATGAAAACACATCATCTTATTGCTCGAAAAGGGCCCATGAATAGGGCAATACGTTGGAGTTTGTTCAAGTTAAATACACAATGCTATTTACACCCGGCTTGCCCGATGATCTATGATCGTCCTTGGGCCCGGATGCTACTTCGGGAGCGGGGAACGCGACGCCCTCCGTGGAGGTGGATCGATCGGATATTATGAGCCAATCATTGTGGACTAAAGTCTCCGATAGCACAGATTACTCGGAAACCCTCCGTGGCTTTGTTTAATCTGTTGACTTCCTGTTCCTTTCATATCAGTCGTCATTGCTCAACTTTCCTCAGCTCATTCTCCGTATTTCTCTTGACCGGAAACATACCTATCCGAGTTTATAGTGCATCTTTATTGGTGAACAATGACTCCAAATTTGCCCGTTGGAGGATCGAGTCTTCGAGCATCATGCGAGGCTTGCCGTGCGTAGTGGATCTTTGTCCTTGGGAAATGACATTGAATGTACTAACGTCAGGTGTATCCCCAGGAGTTAAAAAGATCAAATGCACAGGAGAACGTCCGATCTGCTCCAAATGCAGGACCTTCGACCGGGAATGCTATTACTCTCCGCACAAACCCATGGGTAGGCCGACATCACGTCGTGTCCGTCCTCAATCGTCCCAACCAATCCGTCGGGAACGGATACTACCTCGGCGGAATGCTTCGACCAGGTTGCTCTCTCCCGTTCATACAGATGCTGGATCGGACTCTGGGAGTAGCAATACACGAGAAATTGACGCTCTTCTCGGGTCAACAAGCCCGCGAATCAGCTCCCCTCTCAACCCGGAGACTTTTGTAATCCACCCAGATCTCATTGACTTGGAAAATGATCAAGGGTATGATTTTAGCATCGTATCAACCACAACTTACTACAACTACACGTTCGCTGACGATTTGTTTGATGAGTCCAGGCCCAGTCAAGATCTCGTATCTGAAGGTCTTGCAGCTTTCCCTCCCCTTGCCTCAGACAATCAGCAAACAACGGATAATTGCGCCTGTCTTTCAGTACTGTACCTGTTGCTCGAGCACCTTCGGGTAAAAGAACATCTTGTCGCACCAGAGGACTTCGCCCTACTCCGGAATACCTTCGAGCCGGCTTTACAAGTTCTAAATTGTCAAAGATGCCCGCGCCGGTACTTCTCCATCATCCAGAACGCCGCCCTACTTGGCGTTCTATGTCTTTGTCTTACAGAGTCGTACAAGAGAATGCTTGCATCGATCTCGACAGAAGAGACTAGAGCGACGGAGGCCGGAGAGAAGAAGCGCCTTGGAATTCACGGCGCATTACCGGGCTCATCGGCCTATGGAGAATCGTCGTCTACAAGTGCGCCAAGCCTGTTCTCGGTAGAGGTATCACCATCAGAATGGGGCAAAATAATGCGAAACATCGTGAAGTCAGAAATCTTTGGAGCTGAGGGACAGAAAGATAATAAGTATCTTACGGGCTTCTTTGACCTTATGGAGCAGCGTCAACGGCGATGGCATCACACGCCGCCTGCACCTGACTGCCCACCTTGCTATCAGTCGTTCTGTGGATCAGATGATCGACAGCCTAGCTGTCTCGCTCTTTTGAACAACGCTAGACGATTGATAGAACATTTGGAGTTATAGACACTTCGGCATCTGGAGCAATGTCGGCTTCGGCGCACGCTAATGAGACTCACACACATCGATGCGATCCGCATATGTTGTAGGTTTCATTTGAATCCTTCTAGCCGGGTAATGTACAGACAAAGTGCCTAGATGTAAAATCTATAAACCTCCCAATAACCGAATAATACACAACCAAGAAAAGTAAATGCTACCAGTGCACCGTGGATACTATAGACAAAGAAATAAAATAGACTCAGATCTACTGACCGCTGTCAATGACCTCAGGAATGTTCCTCTGGGTCCAGGCAGACCAATCCTTGCAGACATCAGCGACGGCGGAAGGAATGCGGAGCTGCTTGACCTTCTCGGGCTGAACCAGCAACTGAGAGAAGAGACCGGCGGATGCGTGCCAGGCAATGTGGCAGTGGAAGGGCCAGACACCAGGGTTCTCGTTGGAGTCGAATTGCATGACCATGTGGCCGCCGGCACGAACCTGCTGAACGTCACGACGCTGAGGGTTCTCGGGGTTGGTGATAGTTCCGTCCCATGTCAGGCCGTCACCCTCGTGGAGGATGTACATGTTGAAACCGTGGAGATGCATGGGATGACTGCGCAAGTTAGTCGGTTGTACAAAAAAGAAGAAGTGAGAGGTGTGGTCTTACGCTGCAGGGCTGTTGTTGCTGACGACAATGCGAACGCTGCCGTTATTGGCAAAGTTCTGGACGTTCCAGTCATTTTCAAAGGTCAAATCACCCTTGTTGACCTGAAGAAGCGTGGGGTCGTTGAAGTTGCCGCGGAAGTCAACGCCGCCAAGCGACCATTGAACAATACCAGAGTCATTGCGGAAGACCTTGATTTCCATGGTCCTGGTGACGGGGACGTTGGCCGGCTTGAGCTTCATGACGGGCTTGGTGAGAGCGAGGTCATCGTTGACGCAGGTGCCGGGGTCAGGAACGTTCCAGGCACTGCTGGTGGGCGCCTTGGACTGGTCGGCCAGATCGTAGTAGACGGCAGCAAGGGCGAGGGGCTGGGTGCTAAGACTGCAGCTGGTGATGTTGCTACGCATCCAGTAGGCACCCCTGGGGTTGCTGTTGTCGGCGTTGGCCTTGACAAGGACGTCGGTTCTCTGGCCAATACCGAGGGTGACAACCTTTGTGTCATAGGGCTCGACCTCAACAAAGTCGTTGGCGATGACGGTGAGGGTGTGTCCGTCGATGGAGAAGCGCTGGGTTCCCTCGGCACCGGAGTTGATGAGACGGAGGCGGTGGGTCTTGCCGGTCTGGAACTTGAACTTGGAGATACCGGCATTGTTGGTGCACTTGGTGTTATCTCCAGTCGCAACGGTGGAGCAGTTGAAGTTACCCTTGCCGTTGATCAGGTTGTTGTCCGAGAAGACCAAGCCACTGCCATTAACCTGCAAGATTTCCTCAATGAGATCGAAGTATTGCTTGTGGTACCAATCTGGGAGACGTTAGCGCCTTGATTCTTCTGAAGTGGTGATCATTGCAGGCGTTGCATTCGGCTGTCCGGATAGCTCCACCTCGAAACCGGGGTTGAGATTGGACTCAGGAACCAGCCCCGGGTACCCACACCTCCGTCACCGGCCCCGGTTAAAGAGCGCATGGCTGGCCGACTCCGGACTAGCCATGAGCAGCCATCCATCGCAGAAGATATTGTAGCTATTGCAAGAAGGATTGCACAATATCAACTTACCAGAGAGCATAATAGGGCCAAGATCAATCTCAGGCTGAGATTTAGCAGGGCCATAGATGACCATGGGTCCGAACAAGCCACCAGCGTATTGAGAGGAGTAGTGAGAGTGATACCAAGTAGTTCCGTACAGAGTCGCCTGGAACCTGTAAGTGTAGGTCTTGGCGGGAGCAATCGGGCACTGGGAGATAGCCGGGACACCATCTTCCCACTGGGTGTTCTGCTGTCTGAATCCGTGCCAGTGGAGCGCGGTTCCCTCAGGGCCATCGGTGATGTTGTTCGTGACCGTCACCTCGATCCAGTCACCCCAGTTGGCCTCAATAGTAGGGCCGGGGAAGGCACCGTTCACGAGCAGGACCTTGCGCTCGTAGCCATCAGGGGCGATCACACCGCGGCTGACGGTGAAGTCGTACTTGCGGGTGACGCCGGTATTGGGCCACTCCTTGTAGTAGTTGGTGCCATCGGCGGAAAGCTTGCCCCAGGGAAAGCCGTTGGGGAGCGGGTTGTTTCTCATAAAGAGTGGCAGCTTGGCAGCATTCAAAGTGCCAAGAGGGGATTTTCTGCACAAGTGTTCATGTTAGTTGAGTTGATGTCCCGTGGAGAATGCAGCCAAGCTGTGCTAGGAGAGTTGTCTTACCCGTTGGTCTTGTCTTGGCTCAGAGACGCTTGGATTGAGAACAACCAGCCAAGGACGCCTCCCATGCCTTTGATGGCGACCATCTTGGCAGCTAACCTTTTCGGTAAAGTAAGAAACGAATGTGTGTGAAAAGACTGTTGTCAGATGTCTAAGTGAGTGACTGCTGATGATTCCCAAAGCCAAGAAAGAGGGTGAGCATGTTTGAGCTATATACTCCTTGAAGGAGGCTCGAGTCTAGTTAGCCAACATCTAAAAACGAGACGGACTTTCTTCAACGGCTGGAGTACAGCATCCCAGTACCGTACAACACCCCAGTTAATCGTCGTTGATCTCGCCCATAGGGAGAGTCGGACTCGGGAAGCCTATCCGTGTTGCTATGCTGTGACTGATGGGCTTAACCCGATCTGCATCAGCACTGGTGCTCCTTGACGGCACATGTCCGCGCTAGCATCTCACCCATGGTCTAAGAATGGATGCAAGGTACTAGCTAGGTCCCTGCTGTTCTAGTGTCAACGTGTGACCCAGTGCCGGCAAAGTTGAGGCCGAGACTCTGGTAACTTCTGCGATGCCGATGAGCTTAATTGATACGAACTTTTGACCTCGTTTCCAATTATGGGTTGCAGGTTCTGAAGGTTCCGGCAACTTGTTCGTCGGATGATCCTATGGGCGTCATGCCCATCAACTATGTTGAGAGGGACTCTAAGTCCAGCTTTCGCCTCTCTCGTGACTCGAGGGTTTGGGTCAGGCAGCAGCATCATCGGACCATATTCGCTGACCTGACAAGAGTCAGATACTATCAGAAGTCCCACTCGACAGCTTCAGGTGAGCCACCATTTGGTCGTAGAGCGGGTGTGGCGTGAGCGTTGTTGTGCGGCTGGCTTGGATAGAGTTTGTGTGGTCAGCTACGTACTCGCGAGTACCGCACGTATGTTGTTTGCACACGAGCCATTCACATTCATACGGCAACAGATCCTTCGTCTGACTCAAAGCAAAGGCAAATTCGAGGCTCTCGGTCTGCAGCTCAAAAACCTCGGTGCGAGGTGCGGTATGCTCCCGGGCTGCACAATCACCAATCGTTGCACATGCGGCTATCAATGGTGCAGCAGATTCAGTTTCTCGTACAAACGAAACGCTGGCTGTCGTTCAAGCTGAGGACGGGAACGACGAACAACACCCTGAAACTTCTAAACGGAGATCCGGAGGGTCGAGCTAATTCAGAGTGGATATGAAAAGATAGTCCATCTCAAAACATCAGAAAACTGTCATTGACTGGTGGGGAACGCTAAGAGCAAAATCGTGTTTTCTTTCGTGCCGGCCGGGCTTCTTCCTCTTCTGGCGTCGAAGCTCAGGGGCAGCTTTGAAAAGGCAGCGGCTCAAGTGTCTTTGCGTCCGAGTTTTGACCTCGAGCTAATCCAATACGGTGGGGGAAACGCGTTCAACATCGGATTGCGTAATTGTAATCTTTGGAAACAAACTACCGAAAGCTTTCACATTAAAAACTTCCCTTCGACTCCATTCTTTGTTGCCCATAATACATTCGTTCAGCTGCTGACACGTCAGATCACCACGAATAGTAAAGAGCATATTCAGAGGTCAACGTGATTCATGAAGATGACCCAAGACATGCGTTATTGACCATCCACATCCCGTCTTTTAGGTCGCGGGGTCTCTGCGCTAGCCAAGCTAACGAGGATAATCCCCCCTGCGCTAAGCTGCACCGCCTCGGGAATCCTGTCATCGAAGCGTATCGCTCACGCACCTTTCAGGATCCCTTAGGTGCCGGCAACCCGGTACTGCATCGAATGATCTCAAATAAGAATTGCGATGCGGCTAGGTGGTTGTCACAGGGACGATGCGGAAATGCAGTTGTGCGTCGAAGCATCTGCAAGCCTATGCGACAGTCCGTTCCAGAGGCTCGGATGACGCCGAGTCGTGGTATGGATACGTGCGAGAGGAAGAACGGATGGCAAGCATCGCTGAGTTTGGCTGTAGCCCTTTGTGGCGTGCACGCCCGGGAGGGACTCGATGCCGGCGCCCTGAAGATGATGACGACGACTTGAACTTCTGCAAAGGCTAATGGTCGTCGAACCTATCTCTCCATTGGCGATAGTTGATCTTGATTAGCGCCAGGCACAAACGCCGAAGCTACTTTGGTCAAGCACTAGCACCGCCGACTTCTGATTGAGGTATAGTCAAATGCGAATAATGTGTGGTTTGCGACTGACACCAGCGGTCCACGACTCAAGCAATATCTGACCATGAGTCTGTCATGGATTTCCAAGAGGCTGGGCAGCTAAAAATTCACGGACTCGTTGACGTTGACTCGCGAACAAAGTTTGGAAATGCAAAAGGTTATGGTTCATATTAGGAAACCCTCTCGCTGCGGAAAGAAAAAGAAACCGTCTTCACAATCCCGATGTCCATATTTCCGCCTCCAGTACATAGACGTAAACAAAGCCTCGTCAGACAATGGAACTTTTGTCAGACAACGGGAATGATAAAGCCTGGGATAACAGCAAAATGCCTAGAACCAAACTCCAGCAAGTACAAAAACCATCACAAACAACCAAACGAAACTTCCTACTAAAGCATAAGCATAACCCATTACTGATCTGTGACCTCGGTCTTTGGTCGACTTCGCGTAATCACTGACGGGCCACATAATAAACTTGCATCGATATGTGAACTCTGCGCACAAACCGTAGTTGCAAATAGTGTTCCCAACTTACAGAAACATCAAGGATGGAGGAAGACGATTGTAATCATCTAGAAACCTTGTTATCATCAGCATATTGGCACAGTCTAGGTTTCTGAGGCTCTCTTACCTTTGCTCCCGTAATCGCAATGCATCTTGTGTTGATATCAGACGCAAGCGTGATGCGTCTTCATCGTATAAAGTACTTCAGATAATCCAAGAGGATGGCAGAAACGAACTCGCGGTTCAGCGGCAAGGGACAGGGCAGGCTGGGCAACTTTCGGAAAGAAGAGACTGACGGCCTTACGAAGGAGACCAGCAACCCACTTGCCCGGCTTCTTTTGCGACTTCGACACGCCATCATCCTGCTTCGACTTGATCTTCACATACTTGCCGGTGGTGTAGTTGCCAAATCGCAAGTTGCGAGCCGACTTTGTGGCAGTCTTGAAATCGGCATTCTCGGCCTCGGGAAGATCTTCATAGATCTGTTGAATCACACTGTTGTCGATGTACTTCTCGTAGTTGACGATGTTGGGGTGTCTCTTCGACGAGACCGCAGCTTCGTCGATGCCACCGCACTGGATGCCCCACTCATCACAATCGTCATCCTCTTCATGGTACTTAGCAAAGCGGCTCTCGTGCTCGAGGAGTTCGCCGAGCTGCTTCACCCCAGCCTGCTCAAAAGACGGGAATCTGACAAAAACGTTTTCGTCTAGATCACATTGTTTACTAAGGGAGCTTGAGCTGATTGTCGATACATGAGAGACTGAGACTTGTCGGATTCGTTGCCTCTCTGGCTTGGTAAGAAGATGCTCGATAGGAGGGAATGCCTGACCCTGGTACAGATCGGAAAGGCCAGAAACCTTCTGCTTACTCTTGACTGTGCGACGGGAACCTGCATTAAGCAGCGGGAAAGGCTCCGAGCCAGAGATGCTTGGATAAGCGGGAAATCTTTCTTTGTTCGAGCTTTTGACGCTGAAGGGTGAGGTCGTGATTGTGTTTGACCCCAATGATGAAGAACATAGACCCTCCTGGCTCTCGAAGCGCGTCCACTAGACAGCCTCGTGAACCTTGACAGGGCTGATGGACTCAATGGAGGAGCGAGGGCTCATTGTGGATGGGACTCTGCATCTCAGAATACGAATAGCGAGCTTCTTCTCGGGCTCCAAGTCGATCGCATCGTTCAGGACGCAAAGCTGGCTTTCGTCTTGGGCTGTGGCAGTCGCAGAGTGGTTCGAGATGGATTCGGAGCTGCTTTCGCAAGTGGCAGCGTGGCATCGAGTAGTCGTTAGGCTGTTGGAAGCCACATTTTCTCCTCGGAAGCTATTGGAAGATGGCCTACGACCCATCTTGTTGAGGGCGACAGCGGCGCTCATAAGACTTCGGCTTGGCTTGCCCTTGGACAAGGCATGGTGTGAACCTTCTTCCAAGAAAGCGAACATGCGGCGGAAGAAGCCCATACTAGATTCTGCGGTCATCAGCTCTTGTTCAGGTCCAGCGAATTGCAGTGAGCAGCAAATCAAATTACTTGGGATAGATAGCTCTACGTCACGCAACGGATCTCGGCGTGCTTTCACGACGACGCAATCTACGGCAGACGATGCTCGCAGACTCGAGAATTGGAGTAAAGATCGATGGACCGGATTCGCAGAAGACTCTATCGGAGTTCTTTCAGTGTTGAGAGTTGAGGAAAGACCGCGCCAATAGGCTACGGTTAGCTTTTCAGGAACGAAGTAGGTTTGTACTGATCACCACGGTATCTGGAGAAAAGTCGCGAGAAAAGTCGCGGTGGCACAGTGGGTGGCGAGAAGGAAGATCTCTGCAGAATTGCGGAATGTCAGAGCCTGTCTATCAGGATGAGATAAGGCGCCGCGTGAAGCAATAACTTTTAGGCCGTTGTTGTGTGAGCACGACTCTCGAGGTGGCCACCGGACCAGAGGATATCAACGTGAAGTGTAGAGATGCCAACGCGCCAGGTATTGAAGCAGTAATTGGTGCCTAGTGGATCCTTCAGTTGTATAAGGGAGACCCACAATTGTTTACGTTGTTCGAGGTGAAGTTGAAATGGCCAGCCGCTTTTTCCTAATGAGGAAAATCACGAGAATGCCCGAGGTGCGTTTCGGGCAACTCCTTCGCCCAGATAGCCCTGACAACTCCACTTCTTACTTGCCATCTCCGTCTTAGGGTTGGGTTAGCAGTCTGATAGACTTCACCTTTCACCGTTTCGATTAACTGCAGCTTCGCCGCCATTGTACCTTGGCCATTGCACGTGATGACAGAGACAGTTTGGCTGGTACGGTTGTTGCCATAGCATCTGGACGTGTTAACGCGCCCTCTATCAGCGTGATTTTCGAGCCCTTCTTTATCCACATCGCTATTAGCAGAAGT